GGAGTGGCGGGTTGTCACCGGCCCGTCGATGACCGTCACCTAGGAAACGGACACGGTTGCGTGAGTGCGAGCGGGTGGAATATTTTGGTGTGCTTTTCGCGGACGCACGTCGGCGGCGATGAGGAGTCGAGCTCATGGGAAATCTCTTTGTATTAGCGAGGCCTGCGGTGGAGGCAAAGGTCTCATCACAACATCGATTGGATCACATCACGAGTGTGAGCCGCCCGACTGCTGACTGGACTCTTAATTATACTCCGTGTTGGGCAAAGCCGCACACAGCAACACTCGCACTGCAGGTCTTAGATAGAGAGCCCGTTCCCGATTGTCTATTTCCATTCACTGTCGAGTGAGCGCGCAGAGTTTGAAGGAAGTCGGAGCTCTTACGATAAGTTTCATCTTTTGAATGACCCCTGGACATCGCCAAAATAAGACAAATACTGTATGTCCGTTTCAAACTCAAATGGCAGCCTTCCTGTATCTTTACGGGTATATTTTCTTTTTTGTGGGTCGACTGGTGATAGACACGGCTGCCAAATTTCTGATTCCGGAGGTAAACTGAAATTGGGGGCTGAATTTTCAAAAACAAGTAATCCAAGTGACACTCATCCAACTTCACTGCCATGCTTTTTCTTTCCAAATGCGAAAAAAATGTATATACTGTACGTTTTAAAAAAAGGGGTGTGGTGACATGTTTGAAGACAAGACTTCAAACCTTACCATCATGCTTTGCATTGCCTTGGTCCCCAGATTTCACAAATCTTTTGGACTTGGCTTTTTGATCATTTTTGTTTTGCGATCGTTTTGCGGCAACTAACTTCAGGGGAAGAATTTTTTTGGGAATGTTCGAGTTTGATGGTGAGTCATCGAATATTTCCGCCATTTTCTCCAGACTTATTGAGTCTGGATTTCGCAATCTTTTTTTTTTTTTTTTCAATCCCTAATCTTATGATGTATACGTACAGTATGTCAACCAGATTTCACGTCACTCCGAGAATCAAGCTCCAGGGGGTGGATTTTGAAAACGTTCCTTGCTGTACTAACGACGTAAAGTTGTCTTTGCAAAGGCAGATTTATTGTTCCAGCTCTTGTATTGGATCTCATTGAATTGCCTCCCAAATTTTTTTTTTTTTTTCAATCCCTAATCTTATGATGTATACGTACAGTATGTCAACCAGATTTCACGTCACTCCGAGAATCAAGCTCCAGGGGGTGGATTTTGAAAACGTTCCTTGCTGTACTAACGACGTAAAGTTGTCTTTGCAAAGGCAGATTTATTGTTCCAGCTCTTGTATTGGATCTCATTGAATTGCCTCCCAAATGAAGTGAGCGTATATGATTTCATTGTCTTCCCCAGTGTCCTCTCACCGTGCACCGAGGCTGACAGATAAACATCTCGGGAGGGGTCACTCGGGAGGGGGAGGGTTATTTCATTTCATTGCGGCAGTTAATAAATTGCGTGCAAAGTCTCAGCAGGGGCGAAGTTTTCCCAGTAAAGTGGAGACGGTGCGATTATCCGCTTCATCTGCATGCAGCGCGGCCAGCGCAAATGCTAATCACAACGTTATCTGGACGCCCAGTGTCTGCACTTATCTAACACTCACACACTTTCACGCACACGTACACACGCGCGCGCACACACACACATACACACACGCACACACAAACACAAAAAGTCCTCCCCAGGCCCAGCCAAGGAGATAACCAATGATGAACGATTACATTTAAGAAATCCCCACGCCCGGGCCCCAAACCGGAGGCATTCATCAGCGTCTGAGGGAGGGGGCCTTGAGGGGCCTGGTGTCTGGCTCATCCTCCAGCCGGTCTGCGGTGCTTGCGCCGTGGCAGGTGGCGACTAAAGATAAACAAACCGGCGGACCCCAGAGTCCCCCGCGCCGGTCGTACGTAGGTACCTCCAGGAAGTGTTCCGACTGCTGCTCTCGGTCCAGCTTCCTTGCCGTCGTGGTGATCAAGCCTGGAGGCATAAAGACAGAAGAGAGTCTTGATAATAGGCTGTCATTGAACGGCATAATCGCATTAACTGTCGATATATTTGACTCAAGTGCAGTAATATTACAGCAGAGTGAGTCCGCGCATTAGCATTGTAGGGGTGTGCCATACGTAAGTATGAGATTTACATCCTAATCCGTCTCAAAAATCTAATCAAGTCTGTCTGGGCACTACGTTGATCCCAGCTTCACTTTCAGACATATTTCGGAGTGTCTTTGTGTGAATGAATATGCATTAAAAATTCAATCATGAAATACACCCGAGTTAAATAACACTGCACTATAATGAATGCCAATTCATTGACTTGATGGCAGAGGAATTAAAGGACAAGGATGAGGACCGTTTGAAGTGTGTGCGTGCGCGCGCCGAGGTGTGCGTGTTATGAGGTGGAACGCGGACCGTTTCAATCACACACATACACACTCATACGGAAGCCTCACCTTGAGCGGATCATCTCACACGTGCGCGCGCGCTTGCACGGCAACACAAAAAAAACCCACCTCCACTCACTTATACACAACCAGCATGCAAATAATGACATCATATGTACACACGCACTCGCTTGATCATTTTTGTACCATCATTCAGAAATGTCATATTTGCACATTGTATAACTAAGTAGTTGTGATTCATCCCACCAAGAAAGGTCTATTAAAAAAAAAAAAAAGTCACGCAGCCAGCGAGGACAAACAGTGGTAGCTTATTCCTATGCCTTGGACCTTATGTCAACACTCATCTCTTGTGTTTGCTCCCCCGCCAAGCACGAAAACGAGGAGGAGGATGAGTGAAGGGAGGGAGGGTGGTGTGAGGTGAGGGGGGGTTAAGTGGTTTCGGGGTGGTAGTGGTGTTCTGGGGTGGGGGGGGGGGTTGTCAGTGCTCCTAAAGCAGGGAACACTGCTTCAATCTTGTGTTGTGTTTGGCGACACGCGCCCGCGCACACACACACACACACAAAAAGTCACAAAACAAATCAAAGTGTCGGGGTGGAACGGGACACATCAATCAGTCCGGCGAAGAGCCACGGAAAGTTGCAGGACTCCCGACACACACAAAAGTCCCGTTGCGCTGTGATAACACGCCTATCATATCAATCCGCCGCTTTATAAGGATACCGGTTGGGAGGCGGCGCCGGATGCGGTAAAAGTCCATTTATCAGGGGACAGGGACATCAATACAGACGAGAATGAGCAAGAGATAACGGCAACAGCAACAGGAACAGAGGAGGGCGTGGATGGCGGGAAAAGTGCAACCTCTGTGGCACATCACACAAATGTTACCTTCTTTTTACACCTTTTTGAGGGCTAAGAGTGAAGGACCGAAACCGTTTATATTCACCCCTTTTGTGTCTATGGCTACGTTGTCCATGCCTTCATTTGAGTCCGACCAATCGGATCGCTTATCCCGCTCACTCAACCTCCTTGAGGGGGATGTGGGAGGACTTTGACAAATTGCGTTCCAAAACGTCAATGCCATTAAATAAAAAAAGAATAATTCTAAATTATATTTAAATAAACATAAATGTTAAAGGGAAAGAAAAGTTGTTGCATCAACGATTCCCATAAAAAATGCAATTACATTTTCAGAAAAAAATTGAATTAAATACATAAAAATAAAATTAACAATCATAATAATAATAAGAATAATACATTTTATTTAAAGGCCCCTTCCTTGGCAGTCAAGGACAGCGCATTAAATAGTGCAAGATGTCCTTAAATACAATAGCAATAATAATTTATATTATATTCAATTTTACTCTTTATTGAGGTGTACAATTTAATTATATTTCTTATTTTCATTAATTAATTGAGATTTTATTTACCTATATAGTTGAAATCTATATTCTGAAAAGCCTACTAGAACTGCTGAACTTTATTTTGGGTTAACCAGAGACAGCATCCATCCATCTGTCTTTTTGTAAATATACGTAAATGACTTCACTGACCTGTTTTGGGGTTAATGTAGAAGAAGTTCTGCGGGTTGCCGGCGGTGATGCGGTAGGTGAGGCGGCTCGGCGTGGCGGTGAGGTCGGGGTCCTGCGCCTGGATGCGGATCACCGACACGTCCCTGGGCGAGTTCTCCAACACCGACGGGTGGTAAATGGGGTCCGAGGTGAGCGGCGCATTGTCGTTCACGTCTTCCACCTGATGAGGGGACAAATATTTCTTTAGTTGCTTCATCTGCACACTTTCAAACTCCGGTGACATGACATCAAATGATCATGAAATATGAAGACGAAAGAAAAAGTAGTCACATTTGCGTTTGTTGTTGTGAAATCTTGACTTTATTTATATAAAAGATAAGATAACCTTTATTTGTCCCACACTGGGGAAATTTGCAATATACAGTAGATTAATCTCTCAATCAAGCACATGTAGCGCATGCTAGTCTGCTACCTGTCACACCCACAGCGTCCACTCAACTTCGGCGTGCACGTGTGCGGAATATTTACGAACGTGGGCCGCGAGCGACACGGCGCCGAGACGCTTGAGCGGGTAATTGAGGAGCACCTGTGTCTGATTAAACTTTGTGGTTCGGGGGGGGGGGGGGGGCGCGTGCGTGTGTGCGTGTGTGCGTGTGTGTGTGAGACCAATCACACCCCGGAAGGCACAACAATAACGCTGCCATTCCGCAAAGTCTCTCAAATGTGTCATGTTTGTGCTGGATGCTGAGGCGGAACAATCAAGTGAGTGCGGATTTGCTTACAGGCTCAAGATCACAACATTGAGTTCGGGATAAAGCCATGCAGCCAGCCGGCGTACAAGTCCATCAAAAAGCAACATGTCGATTCCACCGTAACCAAATTCAAAGTTGTTGTTGTCTCGTAAGCCAAAATTTGGACTTAATGCGAGTGCTGTGCTGTTGTTAGCTTGCAAGACAAAATGCTGTTAGAAGCTAACAAGCTAACTTTTAGGCCTGAAGCAGTAAATTTGCAGAACTGCTTGTTCTTCAACATCTTCATTCTTTTAATGTACTTAAGAGCAATATTGATGTCCAAATTGTGCACAATGTCCATAAACAATTGGGGGCTACATTGCAGCGTTCGAGTTCACATGGCTCAAGGTTTTTTTTTTTTATTATGAATGTCCTGCTGTGGCACTGTAATGTTGTGGCCGGCGAGTAGATAACCATACATACATAAAAGCCGCATCACTGCACCGCAAAGACGCCAATTGGCATGCAGAGAGCGTGCGCATCCTACCTGGATGAAGACCTCGACGGAAGCGGAGAGCGGCGTGACCCCTCTGTCTGTGGCGTGCACCGTCAGCCAATAGGAGTCCTTGCTCTCGCAGTCCAGGATGCCTGCTGTGTAAATCACCCCTGCAGAAAAGAAGACATATTAATACCAGCGGGGACGTATAACACTCAAGTGTGTGTGGGTCTGACTGTGTGTGGGTCTGACTGTGTGTGTGTGTGTGTGTGTGTGTGTGTGTGCCCGCGCACGCGGTTGTCACGGAGAGGATTCATTCCCAAAGTGAGAAACAATTTGAGTGCAATTTCCCAGAGGAGGCAAACTCATTGCCCCCATCCCCACAGATCAGCAAACAAGAGATTTCTAGAGGCCGCAGAGACATGCACGGCCATTTGGGGCGCCGCCAGGTTCACATTCAGCGGTCCGGCCAATCGTCGCTCACTGCCGCTTTGGAGCAGAATCAGGATTTGAAGAAGGTTGGCCTAATCCTTTCAATTTTTCTTCAAATGATTCACGTCATTTCAACTTGATATTGTTCAGCTCGTTGGTGAGATGTTGGGAATCATTTTTCCACAAAAATTCTCAAATTAAAAGACAATTGGCATATTTAACGCTTTCTTCGAAATGATTCAACCCAATTACCCCTTCAAAATGTTCTCTTTATTTACAACATCTAGAAAATCTAAATTTTCACATTACCCTAATTCTCATTTGTTCCACATTCCACATTTTCACACTCAAACATCCAAACCAATCGACATTGACTTATTGATCCTCTCCTTCCGCTTTTCTGAACCGATTCAAACCATTCCAACCACAAATTTATTCCGCACACTTGCTTTCCATACTCAGGTTAGCATTTTGCAACATGTTAGCATACCTTCTGGTCGCATGTTGAGCAATTAGTAGTCGTACATACATTTTGGGCAAGATGTAAAATCCTCATCGATAGAGATTTTTGCAACTTCGATTCCATTATCGCCAGAATTCATTGAAGTATTGTTACATTCTTCAATTATCACAGTGAATTATTTGCAATTTCCCAGTTTGAATCCCTAGATGATTTCACTCTCTTTTTAAGGATCCATTTATTGTATTTATTTGCCCACAAAAAAGCAAAACAAAAAAAAAAACCAGACCCACAATACTGGCGGCTGCAGTGACATTCAAGGCCATTAGCGGCGCCGCGGCGGTCACCTTCGAAACTTTGGTCGATCACGGCTCACCCCTCGCTCACTGTTACTTTTGTGCCAGCACCAATAAAGTCACAAACACGCGTGCGCGCACACACAATGTGTCAGTGGCCTCAAGTAAGATGAGGAGCTGACAGCTCTGGTGCGACCCCTTAATGGACTGTCTGCTCTGCTCTGCATGCCAGACTTGGCATTGAATTCAGGCCGTCTGATGGACAGCTTTTGCATCGGCTAGTAGAGACAAAAGTGTTGAGACGCGCCTCCTTGATGGCCTCCCCCAAGGAAGTTAACCATGCATTCCCATAGCTGTTTTTTGTTTTTTTTTTGAGTGATGGCAGGCTCCCAGAGAAGTTTCAGCAGGGGCGAGGAGGCTGCGCAGGAAAAGTCAGTGCACTTCTGTAAGATCCATGAACATCACGCTTGCCTTAATTTCTCTGTGAATAATTTATGACTCCCGGTGTTGGAATGCATTCATATGCGAGGGGTCGTGTCAGTGAAGGTGCTAATCCAAATGAGGATTGTTGAGGTCTGAGTTTGATTCGAGATAATTAATCAATCATAAATTGAAGAGAGCCCTTAATTCCCCACTGAATCTTTACTATTTATCATAGAATTACCCACCGAGGCTTTCTGCCCGCCATTCTTATTTTAAAATGCGTAAACTACATTTGGAGAGCATCTGAAATGGATTATTCGTGTCGGTCCCTAGAATATATTGTCTTCCCCCTTCCCCGCACTCACATACGCACAAAATCTACAAATGGGCAAATTTGCGAATGCCGAAACATGAATGTGGGGGGCCGTGCCCGGTAAGTTAATGACAAGAGGTGGGCTCAGGGGCACGTACGCCGCTGTTCAAAGAGTGTTTTTGTCGGTGGTAATGACGCGCTAATATGAGCTTGTCCTTGACTTTGTCCCTTCCAAAGTGCATCCTGTTTCGAGAGAGAGAGAGAGAGAGAGAGAGAGAGAGAGAGCGTTGGCGAGGAGGCAAGAAACACGCGCACACCCGGCTTTTTTCCCCCCAAAAGCTCTCTGAACTCGTGAAGGAGCACCCTGTCGATTTCATACAAATGTGACTTGACAGCCTTCATTGTCACCATAAACAACACACTGCACAACAAACCGAGCTGTTGCCACATGCATTTTTATTTCTCCCGCCCCCCCACCGTCCCCCCTCACAAGTCTATCCATCACACGTCAGATTTCCCAAGAACATGCCCCGCACCAATCTCTGATTTAAATTAAAACGGCTCAATAATGCCAATAGGAGCGAGAGGCACGCGCAACAGATGATGTGAATACCAATTTTCTCTTGACGAAGTGGTTGAACGGCAGCGAGCTTGCGGCTGAAAGCGGGAAGGAGGATCTTTGCATTGCATTCGCACGGGAGGAGTGAGTCATCTCCAAAAGGGGCAACGGTAAGGCCGACCTTTCGCGCGAGGGAAGGGGTCGGGGGACAAAGGTGCAAATACTTGAGAAAATTGCCGACGTCAAAGACGAAGGAAGATACGCGCAATTTGCTTTCATTCGACATGTCCACAACAAAACCAAAATGGAATGAAAAGGGATTGAAACGGCGAAGAAAACAACCACTTGAGTGCTGTAATGCATAATCTAGTATGAACGTCATAACTTTTTTCCCCCCGCCTCCTCCACAAAAAATTGGTCATCTTTCTTTGTCCCTTAGGCCCACAAGAAGCCCCACAACTCACTTCCTAATAAAGTGGTATTAAAATGTTTTTTTTTCAAGACAGGAACGGTGAGGGAGTGTTGTCGAACCGTAACTAATAGCAACAGTGTCCTTCCAAGATAAAGTTGGACGCCGACTATAAAACATGTCAAGCGGGGTCATAAAAAAAAAAAAAAAAAAAAAGTGTAATAAGGTAGCTTTTTTTCCCCCCTGCAATCTTCTTTCAGTTTCTGCTCCGACAGGAGCTGGCTCGGACCTCCCCCGGAATAATCTCAGCCTCAGCGCCAGCTCGCTTTGCGCCTCGGTGACTTTGTAATGTTAAAGGTACACAAGTGAGCCGCGCATCGTTACACATTACTGCGGGGGGCTCACATAGATGGAAAACATCTTTAAGTTTGAAAGCAACGTAGTATTTCTGCTGACTGCACCGCATAATGAGGTTTACAAATGTTTTTGCATCGAATGCATGATAAATGCAGGTTCGGGAAATACAGCTATGAGGTCGTCCCGTTAGTCCTTTGAGTCCCTCATCAAAATCAACATGTCCAAGGTTTAAAAAAAATAAAAAAAAAAAAACTATGTAAAATAATGCAAAACGTCAAGTTGAATACACTCGGGAGGATGTTGATGTGCTTGGGTAGGGAGGTGCTGCCGTTTTGGTTCGAGATTTTATTTTTATTCAGTTGGATGGCGTACCCAGCAACCTAGTGTGATACATTTAAAATTTTACAAATGTGATTTTTTTTGGGGCCTACATTTTATTCTCTTAAGATAATGATAGTATTGAGCTATTTTTTGAAAAATTACTGTTTTAACTAATTTATTTGCTAGATCACGGTATGTTATTTTATTTTTATTTAAATTGCGCTGTTCAAATGTGGATTATTCACCAACACATTTTTAAATGTTGATATTTCTCATTTTTTTACTTGTTTTTATTAACGAGTGACATTATTAGTTGACATTTTGGTTGTTTTATTTGACATATTCACATTGATATCATTTACACCCTATTAGCCATTTTCTCGTTTTATTTTAAAGCTCATATATTTGGTTTTAGTTCAGATTTTTATTTTGGTGGCTTACTTTTGTCATTTGTCATTTTTCCCAATTTTTACCTACATGGAATAGTCTTCATTTTTGTATTGGATGGCATTATCCTCTCCAAGTGTACCTAATGTCGCATCCTCCAAGCGGACACTACAGTACAAGCCCGGTGGTCCGAGAGAGCATGCGGACCGGAGCCAACAGGCCTTGTATGTGTGTGTCAATTGATTGTTCTCCTGTGACTGGCCGATCAATACTAATTAGCCTAGTTAAAGGTCAGCGCGGCCCTTCAGTGGACGCTGAAGAGCGCACAAGACGGAAGGAGCTGCTTACCATCCCGGCCAGGCTCGATTTTATGAAGCGTCCCGACGACGATTGTGATCGCTTCGCCTCAGCAACACGAAGCTAGCCAGCAGCTGCTAGTTTGACACGGGAAGACAAAACAATAGATTTACATTGCGCTCGCGTCGTATTATTGTATTTTATTTTATTGGTTGCTGTGGTGCGGGCTTTGTTTGATGGCTGAGCTGCCGCTGCGGCAACAAAGTCCCCCCCGCGGGGATAATAAAGTTCGCCTTGACCTTGGACGAATGTCGAAATGAGCGCGGCGCTAAGCGTATATTATATAAGGGTATATTATAAATAAAAGTGGATATTACTGGACATGTAAAGGCCTTTCATGAGCGCAGGAATGTTTGTATTGATTTCAGCATATAGTGCAGGTACACTGTTGTGTCTGATTACGGTCACTTTTGAATCATTCATGGCACAGCGTGTATCGTTTTGTGTCATGCTGTGTTTTCCATCGCATGGTAAATTATACAGTATGATATCGTATCGTGCCTCATAGAGTCTCTTACCATCAAATATTACACCGTATCACATTGTGTGACATTGTCTCTAATCTTATATCGGACCGCATCATGTCATGTACCATTTCTTCAATTTTGTTGGAATGTTTGCACATAACGAACACAGCCGAGTGATTTGTTTGCCGCGAGAGCTGACAGACTCTGATCGCAGAGCGAAACCTTTCTGCACACTCAACTTCCATGCAAATATGAACTGTGCAGACATGCGTGGCATTTTCAACAGCCGGGCAATGAGAAGTGCTGGGATTTCATCGAATCCACGTGTGCCAACTGCGGTCATGTATAGCAAATGTCAACGCACTGCGTGAACGCCTATTGGCATTTTTTCTTTGTTGTCTTTAGTCGGAACAGTCTCAGCGGTTATGGGAAAGCCTCGATCTGCAGTTTGGCTCAGTTGCAGGGCAAGCTCTGCTCGTGCTGGTGCCATGTTGCCCTCATTAAAATAATGATCGCCACAAACCAGCATCTCAACTCTGACGTCACTCTCATCACCTAGCTCCACTCTAACTTCAAAAAAGTATTGAGAGACAACTTTAAACCCCACTGTCGACCGATTTTTTTTTCCCTAGAAAATTCTTGCTTGGCTTGATGAATGCAACTGAAAATGTGATGTATTTGTAATGGAGTGAAGTGATACTTTTTTTTTTCATATGTTACATTATTGGATAACTAAACGTGCCACGGCTCAAATTGACTCGGGAATTTTCTTACTGAGAAGCGAACATTAGTTATTTCATTTTACTTTTAAACATGAAGAGGTCACACTGACCCGTTTTGATACACAAAAGAAACAAACCTACCAGGAGAGTTAATAAACAACTCAATTAACCGCAGGAGCTTTTCTCAGGTCCACCGGCGGACTCCCAAATGGTAGACAAAATCCCAATACTTTTGTCCCACTCATATAAATCAAGTAATCATGCAGCCCTCGATTCCGCGTATCGCACAGCTGTCGAATTGCAAAGCACAACACGACTTTAATAAGCAACCAATTACAAATAAATGGAAACATCCTGCATGAGGCACACGATTCGTATTGGATGTTAATTGGGTACGGGAGCATCAAACCTGTGTCTTCGTCGATGGTGAAGGCGCCCAGCCCGCTGCCACCTCGGATGGAGTACTTCACGGCGCCGTCCCTCCCTTCGTCGTCGTCCTTGGCGTCCACTGCCAGCACGCTGGTGCCCGCCCGCGAGTTTTCCTTCACCGAGCCTCTCACGGCGAAGTCGGCAAAGTAGGGCGCGTACAAATTCTCGTTGACGTCCACCACCTGGAAACCGGTTGACCGATTAGCAGTGGTGTAAGTAAGGTACAACAATTGTTTCGATTCATGTCATTTAAGTAGATATTTCAGATATCTGTACTTGGAGTATTTGCGTTTTAGTACAGAGCCGTATTTTTGCCACCTTAATGAAGCACGAATCACAATATGATGATGGTACACATGTTTATGAGTGTGGCGCACCTCCACCTCCACATACGTCAGGCTGCTGAGGGTGGGCGTTCCCTGGTCTTCGGCGAGTAAGGTCAGGTTGAAGAACGCCTGCGTCTCAAAGTCCAGCTCCTTCCTGATCCTCAAAACGCCACTCGTACCGTCCATCTGCCATGCGCACACACGCACACACACACACACACACACACACACACACACACACACAAATCAGTAAATGCAGCATATAAATACTGTATGTAGGACATATGTAGGGTGGATAATCCTTTTCCATCTATCCATTTTCTATATCCTGTTTATGCTCACAGACAGCTGGAGCCTATCTCAGCTCACTTTGGGTGAAAGGCGAACTACACTTTAGATTGGTCGGCAGTCAGTCGTAGAGCACAGACAGAACCAGACAAGCATTGACTCTCACGCTCACACCCTCAATGAGTCGGAAAGGAACACACGTTGCCTGCACCAAAGTCAGGTTCTACTGACGAATGGTTCTGTATCGTAGGTCTGTCTGGGTCTGTCTCTTCATTTTGTTTTGTTGTGATGTTGGCTGTATTTTACTGATTTGGGCTCTCGTCTTGAAAACAAGATGATGCATCTCAATGGGTTGATCAAAATATAAATGCAAAAATGTAGGACAAGTCATGAAATAATTTAAAAAAACAAAACAAAACAATTACAGACCTCAAAAGTGCCGTTGAAGTCACTGAAGAGGGAGTACCGGACTTGTCCACTGGATCCGATGTCCGGGTCCTTGGCCTGCACCCACATAATGACAGCCCCCGGTGGGAGGTCCTCGAGCACTCGAGCACTGTAAGTACTCGGGATGAAGGACGGGGCGCAGTCGTTGACGTCTTCCACGATGATGTTCAACGTGGTCACCGCCGATCTCCGGTTGCCTCTTTCGGCCTTGTCTCTGGCCTCGATCCTCAGAGTATATGTGGGAAAGCTCTCCCGGTCCAGGTGGCCGGCCACAAAGACACCGCCGGTCTCGCTGTCGATGGCGAACTGAGGGATGCTGGTCAGCAAAAGATAGGACAGCTGCGCATTCTGAGCGGCGTCTTTGTCAATAGCAGAGATGGTGACCACCTGCGTGCCCAAGGGTGCGTTTTCAGCAACCAGCGCCGTGAATGAGTCCTGAGCAAACTGCGGATCATTGTCATTGGAATCTTCCACGATAACCGTCAGGAGCCTCCAATTGGACATCTGCGGGACACCTTGGTCGTAGACGGTGATGTTGAGAAAGTAGCGGTCGGTTCGCTCGCGGTCCAGCGGCCGCAGGACGGTCAGCAAGCCGCTCTCCATGTCCACGGTCAAACAGTCCTCTTTGCTGCCATCAGCTACGGAAAAGAGAAGACGCCCGTTGAAGCCGGTGTCGCCGTCACGTGCCCTCACCTGGAACACGCTGGCCCCCGGTGGAAGGTCCTCCCGAACCAGAATACTTGTAGGCAAGGCTTCGAACTGCGGAGCTTGTTTGTTTACGGAAAAGACATCTGGACTCCTGTCAAACTGTCTCACGCGAGCCATCGCTGAGGCCTTTGAGAGCATTTTCTCAGCCATCAACTGGGCCACCTGGGTGTCCTTGCAGCTGAGCCCTCGGGGTGGTATTGAACCCCTGATGACGGATATATTTACATCGGTGGGCGCGGAGGACATTTCGCCATCTGTGGCAACGACTTTCAAGTTGAACATGCCGCTCTTTAAATTCACCCCCGCTAATGATCGCGTCAGCGACAAGGCACCAGACTCTGCTTCCAAGGTAAAGTAGTTCATCTCGTTTCCTGAGATGACCTCGTACTTGACCATACCGAGGTCGTCCATGTCGAGAGCCGACAGGGTGACGATGGTTTGGCTGACAGGGAAATCCCGGCCAATCATCCCTCTGCAGGAGACCCTCTCAAAGACCGGCGCATTGTCATTTATGTTGATCAAACGGACCGTGACGTTGGCCTCGCTCTCCCGTCTGTAGGGCGAACCCCAGTCCGAGGCTCGCACAGCAAACGTGTAGATTTCTTCGGACGACTCAAAGTCCAGGTCTCGCGTGATCCTCAGCTCCCCCGTGTCTTGGTCCACGGCGAAAGGAAGCCAAGGCTCACCGTTAATTGTGTGCGTGACGTAGCCGTTCTCTCCTCTGTCTTCATCCACGGCTGAAACAATGAGAAAAACGGTGCCGACAGCTAAGCTTTCATTGATGGAAACATCATAAAATGGCCGGCTGAAAACTGGGGAGTTGTCATTAGCATCCTCCACGGTGATGCGGACCTTTGCTCTCAGAAGACTTACAGCCTCGAACACTTCCATCTCCATGAAAATCTGTGAAATCCTTGTCAGTCGCCTCGAGGTCATAATAACGCCGGTCGACGGATTGATATCAAAGTACATTAGTTCCGAGAGGCTGCAGAAGCTGTAATTGACACTCGCGGGAGCCGGGGAGATTCTCAGCACCTCGACAACAGTCCCCGGGGGAGCAATTTCACTCAACACCACTTCATAAACGTCTTTCTCGAAACTCCCCAGTGTCGGTTCGGGCTTTGTGACCAACAACTGAAGCAATTGAGTGTTCGAGAACTTAGGAGGGATGCCCCTGTCCTTAGCCTGGAAGGTTAAGTTGCAGCCGTAAGGGTATCTGTCCCAGTCGAACTGCTGTGACGCTCTGACCCAATATTCATTCGCAACGAGTGGCGATCGATCAATCACAAACTGTTCAAGTGGGTCACCGTCGATGATGGACACCCACTCTATGTACCCGCTCACCCCGTCATCGTTATCCTCCACCGCCACTTTGGCAAAGACCGGGTTTTGGTCGGTCCACGACGGGGCCACGGCAACCGCCCTCAGAATTGGGGCAAACTCATTTATCTGCGTCACACTGACCACCAGTCGGGCCGTGCTGCTGATGTCATTGCTACCGTAGAGCTTCATCCCTCGGTCCACCACCTGCACCTCCAACTCGATGAGGTCCCGGTTGTCCATCCTGGGGCGGCCAGTCAGCGTGACCACGCCACTCGTGGGGTGCACGGCGAAGAGGTCCACTTTGCTCTTGAATAAGTAGTAGAACTCGCCGTTGGAACCCACGTCGGCATCGGTGGCCGTCACACGGCCGATGCTGGCGCCCAAAGGGGTGCTCTCAGACACCACGAACGAATAAGAGGTGGGAGAGAAGAGAGGACGGAGGTCGTTCATGTCCAGGACTTTGATGTAGATAGTGGCCATTGCCTCCAGGCCTCCTTGGGCGGAAGCCTTGACCGTCAGAGTGTAATTGTCTTGCACTTCCCGATTCAGCATGGCACCGGTGTTTGTTCGTATGCGTAGAAAGCAGAAATCCCCCATGGTAAAGTCCTCTGCCTGGAAGACGCCCTCGCTGTCGCCGGACTCGATGGAGAACTTAACGTCAAACGATCGGACGAGGAGGATGCCCATTTTGACCTGGCTTCCGGCATAGGTCCTGGAAGCGGAGTTCTCAAAGATGGAGGCGTTGTAGACGGGCTGGCTGAAGAGCAGCAAGCCTTGGCCGGCCCTCTCCTCCGGCAAAAACTGGCCAAGTAGTGTCGGGAAGTCGAAAATGAGCAGAAAGCAAATACGACGGTAAAGAATCGGGAAGCGCATCATAATTCCCTTCAGTTCAGGCTTCATGGCTGTTTCATCACCCAGTCATCCTGCAAGAAGAAAGCATCGCAAAAGAATAAACGTCTTTCACCACCTAGGATTTTCACTGCTTGTTAAAATTTTGATCAAGAACGATTGTAACAAAGAATTTCTGGGGTCTTCCCCAATTGTAGAGGGATGTGACTGCATATTCAAGTCTGCAGTACGCCATGTTTCCATTCAAATGAAGCCCAAAGGCACAAAAAAATAGGTTTTTCTTTAAGCAAACCCCACCAAAATTTTAGGCAGTCACTCTTCATCTAAACAGTCTTTCTAATACAAAGACTGTTAACATTGAAAAGGAAATATTACGGAAATCCGTTTTTCAATTGCTTGTAAACAAATAGTCGGGTTTCTGGAAGGCCCGCACTCCCATGTAGTGTGAAATTAAACAACTAAGTCAGTATTTTCTTTGCTGACAACGTGTCCATTGCGTGCGCCGCATTCTTGGATCCGTTGCACTAATTTAGCCAAATTATAGCTGTGGTCTTATCACTGCAGTACAACGCGGCACAGTGAGCAGCAAGAGGCTCCAAAATAAAATGACTAATTTCAACGACTGTCTGATAACTGTGTGTTAAGTATGCTGCAATTCATTATCCTCTATTGTGGAGCGAGGACTTCCTTACCAAGCCACTGAAATACACGTTAATTAATGTGCAACTAGGGTGTTGTAACTAGGCTAGTGCATTCTTCTTCTGCAAGCAGACTGTGGGAAAATCAAGTATGTGCAGCTCATCGGTAGCCAAATCTGTGCATTCAACAACACTCAATGCAGGTCCACATGTCAGTGTTTCAGACAATTGTGGCTATGATTGTGTCAATTTGACAAATTATGACAAGAACATTCTAAAGGGCTCACTATAACCTTGTTTTCAGAAATAGGTAGCAAAGAATGTACTCAAACCTTCTTTTAAGCGCTTTATCACAGCTGCAGCTGTTGTTAAAAAAAAAAAAAGCTATATAAATATAATGTATTGTATTTGCCTAATTTCACACTTGACAAGTGGGATCCCGAGACCTAAGTATTTGCATACAAGCTATTACAAAGTCAACTTTCCATAATATGCTCCGGTAAGATAACTGGGAACTGTTTCTTACGTTTTTTTAAATGTTTAAAGATTATATAAACTGTTTGTGCAGACGTCAGAGTCAATCACAACAAACGGAAAAAATCAGATTGATAATGCAAACCACTGGATCGTCTGTCACAAACAAATCTCATGTTGTCCTACCTTTATTTTCTGGAATCACTCAAAAGTGCATCCGCTCTTTTCCTCGGGGGAGGAAAAGTCTTCAAAAGCACTCAGACGAGCACATCAGATCCCGCCAGGAGGGACTCGTCAAGAGAACCGCAGCCATCCGCCGTCAAAGTGCACGCCAATTGTCCCAGTTTTCACGCACCTGCGTCCTGCCGAGCTTGACACAAAATGGACGTTAAAAACGGTGCTGCTTTTTCAGACAAGTCAAAGGGAAAAGAGGAGGAGGAAAAAGATTTTGCGCAAGTTTTTTTTTTTTTTTAGAGGGCGACCGGCCAGCAGCATCAGTTGCCGCCGCTTTGGGACCACGGATGGATCGGAGCGAAGGAGGGAGGCGGTGGGCGAGCGAGCGAGAGAGAGGGAACGCCGAGGTTTTCCGAAAAATGACGAACAAACTAAGAAGTGAACGAGGGTAACGCGTGTGTGTGTGTGTGGCCACAAAAAAAAAAAAGACCGTCTTTATGTGATAACTTTTTTTCCCTCCAAAGAATATCAAAAGTATGTTAAAAATACCCCACCAATTCTTCACGTAATATTATTTTGGATTTGATGTATATTACTATAACACTTTCTCGAATAGCTCTCTCGACAAGTGCATTCAAAAGCTTAGAGGTCACAAAGTTCACCTGTAAAGGTTTGAATGCATTTATGGTTTGTCCTGAAATTTCAAGGTCTTTTGCACTCTTTTTTTCCCATTGTGCAACAACATCGAGTAACTCCTGTACGCCAATTTGACACGATCATTCTGCCCTTCTGTCCAACTACAGGAGAATCTGACCACCATTTCATAGACCTTGAGACCACCAACAGGCCGCTCACGGAACTGCAGGTGGCCAACACAAAGACCAGATCTTTTTTTTTTTAATGTTTTCTTAGAAATGTATTATTGCTTCCATCATCATTGCCACCTTGTGTTTTTGCTTCACTTTGTACGTTTTAAGTGCCCTAGAAATTAAATTCATAACCTCTCCCCGACTCTCCAAAATGTCTTTTAAAAAAGCGAGAGAGTTCTTTCAATAAAACCTACTTTTGTCCACAAAAATTCGAGACAAAATATTCTTGTAATGACTTCTAAAAAGAAAATGGAGGATCAGACTTTTGGGTGTGGGGGCGGAGGGATTCTCCGATCCAAAATCAATTTTTACTCATAATTGTCATCAAATATATTTTTCAATAAAATATTCCTGTAATAAAACTTCTTTCCTAAAAATCTACAAACATTCTCATGACAAAACTTTCCTTAAAAAAAGCCTGACTCTTCCTTGATCTACCTTTGCGGGAACAAAAGCCGAGGAAACCCGGAAGTGAGCAAGCGAGTGAGGCAATGGCTGAGCGTGTACACGCCGATGTTGACCGAAAGAATCCGATCAATCCGGAAGTGAGCAAGGGCAGCTGAGTGAGTGAGCGTCGCGCTGTGAAGCGTCCGCCGCGTCTCCTTGTGCTGCTTTTTTAAGTGTCCGTTTCCGCATTTAAAATACATTTACTCGTCACGATGTCTACTTTGTGCTACAACAAGGGCTGCGGCCAGCGGTTCGACCCGGACAACAACCCAGACGGTGAGTAGCTAGTTCGAGCGAGGCTAACAATTCATCTGGAAAATTCTACGAGCCGACAGGCCAAAGTGGGGCCCGCTAACTGACACGACTCGAAACAAACGCGTCCCACTTTACTTCACTTTTGACTGTTAGTTCTACTTCGACTTGGTTATTCGGGGAAAAAACGCCGTTAATATCTTTGCACAGCTAGTTGTCGAAAGGACAATTTCATCACATTTTAACTTGTACATATTGAATGCAGCTTTTTATTATCCTCAAGTACATACGGTGCCGTAAAAAATATTTTTTGTTTACAGTTTCCCCACTTCAGATCAAGATCATCAAATGTAAAGAGCAGACAAATACAACCCAAACAAAACAAAAACAAAATGCAGTTCATTAAAATGTTGATTTTACTTAGTGGTTTAAAAAAACATTTAAATATTTTTGGTCCTGTGTTTTGTTGTCGTTATATTTGGTCAAACAAATGTTGCTTTAATTGTACCAGACAGTCAGCAGGAATAAGAAACCTCAGAAACAGAGGATGTGTACCAATTTTTTTTTCACGACTGTGTATTGTGTTGATGTGACTTGCTTTTCTTTTTTGTTTCCTGGAATCACTATTCCTGTAATTGGCTAAAAAATGATTTACATTTCCCCACTGTGGATCGAATAAAAGGTTATCCAAACCAATCTAATTCCCCCTGGCAACATGAGACTTCTTGATCAAAGAAACAAATAATCCAACTATCATCTATTATCTAAAGGTCACATTAACAAACAAAAAAAGAAAGAAAAAACAGTCTTGAAAGAATTGCTTCTTTCTCAAGAAACATGAACCTTTCTCATACTATAATTTCTTTTCATGATGACCCCAAATCTCATTTACACAAACTCTGTGAAGGGCAGTGAGTGTACTGGTAGTCTTTAGAACTTGGCATCAGTTTGAGTTTGTTACCGTTTTGCATTACTTCTGAAAATAAATCGTTGATGGCTTGTTTTCATGAAGCCTTTTTGTTATAGTTAAAATTCAATCGGGTGTCTGTCTAGGTTTGTGTGATTAAACAAGCACACGTTGTCGTGTGTCTTCATCTACAGAAATATCGCGCAGGACTTGTGTCTAATTTCCATTTTAATTGCATGCCACTTTTCATCGCAGTGCATTACCTGAAGGCCTGATGGAAAACACTGTGGACTGCTTGAAGGGAATTGTTGCTTTATAAGGTCACCCAGGCAATTTTATACTCTTTGTGACTTTTAAAGATGTGGAGCTGGGGTTTGTCTCTGCAGGCGGCTGCACGTAGCACCTTGAATTACCACAATAAAGTCGGAGTGTAACAGGATAAAAAAAAGACGTGTTGGTATTTCTTTCATAATAAAAAACATTTTAGATGGAAAAAAAGGTGTGATTTTGTGAGGGAAAGTGTTGGAATGATGTTTTTTCCCCCCCTCAGTTATAATATGATTTCATCTCGAAAGATGACTACTGTAATCAGATTTATTTATGTATTTTGGGCTATAGGCGGCTGCACATACCACCCCGGCGTCCCAGTGTTCCATGACGCACTGAAGGTAAAAACCCTTGGACAAAAATGTGACTTCCCAGCCGTTAACGCTCATCTCTCCTTGCCTAGGGATGGTCCTGCTGCAAGAGACGGACCGTCGACTTCTCCGACTTTCTCAGCATCGCGGTAAGCTTTTGTTCCCGCTCACGACATCGGCGCGCTTGTCTGCCCGTCCGCCTTTAACGGCACTCTTTTCTCCCGCTCGCAGGGCTGCACGAAAGGCCCCCATAACAAAGAGAAACCCCCCGAGCCGGTGAAGCCTGACGTGACCTCGTCGAAAGAGAAGAAAGACAGAGACGAGCAGAAGCCCAAATTTAGCGAGTACATCATCTCCGCGCCAAAGCCTCAGGAGGCCATTTGCAGACCCAGGTTGTCCAACACTTTCACTTGGAATCAATAGCGTTCACGTCCAAGGCACACACTATTGATTGGAAAGCAACTTAAAAAGAAAAGAATAGCGGTATTGATTGACCCTCACTCAGCCGCCAACTGCACCCCCTCAATTGGAAAAAAACATCGCCAGATTCTTTTAAAAAACCATTAAACCCCCCTTTGATAAAATATGTCCTGGTGGGATGTATTCTGCCAAATGATACAAAAGTGGACAATACCCAAAAGAAGAGAGTGACGTTTCTCCGAAGCTATATCGTCGTCTTGTGTGTGTCAGTGCCGACGAGCCCATGGTGAGGTTGCAGCACAAAGTGTCTTCTTCCCTCAAGCAAGCTCTGGAGAAGCTCAAGCTGACTGACAACTCGCACGCACTGAAACAAGGTGAGAGAGCAGAACGCTTACGTTTTTAGGCGCAACTCGGTTCTCCAAAGAACAGGAAATAAACAGCGTCCGGAAAGTTAAAAGATCTCTGCTGGGAATTGGAGCTCCATTTGTGTCAGAGAAGCTCAGTCAAAGTTGATGTTGACGCATCACAACTGTCACGCATGGCATTACAAGTGCATGTGTGTGTTTTGCATCCCTGCAGAGGACGACAGCAACGAGGTCAAGATTGGTACATCCTGCAAAAACGGAGGATGTACTAAAGTAGGTGGATCAATCTGCATCGTCTTATTTACCGGGTACCAAGGCGTGTGTGTGTGTGTGTGTGTATGTATGTATATATATATATATATATGGAAAAGTAGTAATTTTATTGAGACATAATATTTTGGGGATTAAGTTTAAGATTTTTTTCTTGCCCATTATTTTAAAAAGCACTACTTGGTTATGAACTTTTATTTTAATGACCGTGAGATTCCCACTTGTCAAAAAAAAATCATATACCGTAATTAACTTATTTTCTTGGAATAAAAGTATTTGTAATTTCCCTTTTGAGGGCTTGTAGAGAGAAAAGCGACAAAATTACTGTTAAACTCACCTTTTCACCCCCCTCTCCCAAAAAGAGCTACGACGGCCCGGCCAGTGACTCTGACACGTGCTTCTTTCACTCTGGATTTCCAATCTTTCACGAAGGGTAGGTTGTGTTCTCCACTCTGACCATCTATTTCTGTGGGGGGGGGAACAAAAAAAAGGCAAGTACATGATTTTGTTTCCGTATTCAGGATGAAGTACTGGAGCTGCTGCAAGAAGAAAACCTCCGACTTCAACTCCTTCCTCTCCCAGGTGGGCTGCACTGAGGGCCAACACCTGTGGAGGAAAAAGGAAGAGGTAGGTTGTTAGAAACAGCACTCTGGCCCCATCTCGTGGTATGTTATGAAATCATCCCACACACATACTGCAATTAAACAATTGTTTTACCATGTCAACATTTTTTCAAGAATTTTTGGACTTAAATTCAATAGATATTTTTAATTTTTTTTTTTCTGAGAGTAGACAGTAGTTAAACTTATACGTTAAAGGCACCACTATATACCTGATTCAGGGCAAGAAGGTGGTGCCATGTCGATTCGACTGGCACCAGACTGGCTCGCAGGTCATCATCTCCATCTACGCCAAGAACGGCGTGCCCGAGCTGAGCTACGTGGACGCCAATAGCACCACGTTGCACATTCGCGTGGTCTTTGAGGGCGAGAAGGAGTTTGAGCAGAAGATTAGCCTGTGGGGGGTAAGTCCACAAGTCAGGGTTGGGACAGCAATACAAACATCACCATTGACGTCATTGTCGCCGTCTTTGCAGGTGATAAACGTGAGCCAGAGCGCAGTCAACATGATGGCGGCTAAGATCGAGGTGGCCATGAGGAAGTCGGAGGCCATGTCGTGGGCTCGCCTGGATCTGCCGCCGCCCGTAGCGCCACCCACGCAGGACCACGAGAAAAAAGGCGACGGTGACAGTGATAGCAACGATGAGGAGAATGAATGATAGGACGCGAAAACTTTGGAACTTTTGCAGTCATATTCCATTATTCCTGAACTTGAATAGGCACAGAATGCCAGGTGATGTCATCATGCTGGACGACCACATTTCTGCTTGACTTTTAGCCCACTTTTTTTTTCATTCCAGTCAAAATTTCAGTGCTGAAAGACGATGGTCAATCATGTTTAAAACCCAATAAAATGTTAAAAGAACTGAAATGTATTTTCTACACCTGAAGGAGAACGATGGATTTAATGTGATTTTGTCAAGTAATTTTGTCCTTGAAATGCAATAATGTGAGAATGTTCAAGAAAAACAAGTTGGTAAATTGACAACAAACTTCCCTCAAGAAATGTAACTGGGGAATTGAGGATAATTTTATTGTAAAGTATCACCACTCCATTCACAGCAGGAATGTTCTATTATTTTTGAATGCAAGTCACGAAATAGCAGGCTTGCTGCCATCCATAATGCTGATTACCACCACATTTCCGCTCCCTTGACTTGAATGTTTTACCTCATCAGCACTGATGTAACAACTTTATAACCTACAGAAAGAGTTAAAGGAGCTGAAGTTATTTTCTGCACCTGGAAGCAAAGAATGGATTCCACATGATGGCTTTTACTCATGCAATTGTCTTTCTGTCCTTACGGTGGTGGTTCAGACCAAAAAAAAACAAAAAAAAAACGTTTTTAACAATGAAAGTACTGTAATACTCACCGAGGATTCTCAAGTGCTGTATATTATACACACTCATGTGATACGGTCTTACTTTTGCAAGAAAAAAGGTCTTTATTGTAACATGGGACACGTTGAAGAACGAGTGCATGGCTACCTAATGGTGCATCATCACATGGCTGCTGTGTAGCCGCGGAGTTTGTTTTCTTTATCTCTCTTGAGAAGAGGCTGAGTTTCCCTAAAGGTTGGGGACAGGAATAACCTTTTCCGGAGCCGTGGCCACGCCGGGACACGGCGTTTGATGTAAACTGCGGCGGCGGGCACTCCCAGCGCCGCAACTGCGCCGCAGAGGCTGGCGAGCAGCAGCCATGGCCACATGGCATGCAAATCCTCCATGTAGGGACGCAAGGAGTCGGACAGAAGCTGGTCTGCAGAAGAAATAAGGAAAGGTTATGCCTTATGGATATTGGGCTAATATTTGCAGCAGAGAATCTGAAATTCAGAGAACTTGGACAAATTTAATTCGGGAAAAAAAAATATCTAAATGATTTACCCATCAACAAAAATTTGCGATTCATTTGCTAATCGATTAGTTGCCGATTAATTATTGGGCTTTTGCATCAAAGAAATGTTTAGCTCTCAATAGGCGTTTAGTTATCACCATAGATTTGAGTCTTAAAAGCACCTATTGTATACGTTTTCGTAAACATACACTATACGTAGAGGTGCAATTTCATTGTGTTCTTATGCAATGACAATAAAAGGAAACTTGAACTTGATTCTTGAACACTTACTGGTAGCCAGCAGGCGTGAGTACTCGTACCCCAACTCTTTGCTGGTTATAAAGTACTCTCTGTTAGTGTGCAGAGGCAGGAAGGGAACCATGTGGTACTCGCCGTTGTGTCCAATGGGGGCGTTCGAAGTTGGGTACTGCGACGGGTTGGGCCTGTGCCTCCTGAGCCACTCTTCATAGAGACTTGACACGGGAATATAGCGCATACATTTAGTGGAAATGTGCGTTTGCGTATGGCGCATGCAAGTCTTCAAAGTGCTTCATCACTTTGACCATATTTTGTTACGTTAGAGCCTTCTCGCAAAAAAGTTGGAGCAAAAGCTATGAACAGCGAGCTGCACACCCGAGCTTACGACAGCCAACTCAATACTCTCATTTGCTGACATCTTGTGGCATCTTCAAGCGTGAAAGAGAGGCCACAAAAAAAAAAAAAAAAAAAATGCTGAGAGCTGTGAATTTTTCAGCGAGTTTAGGTTCCAGAACCAGACACATTACATTCTAACTTGTGATGTTAGGTTGTATTAAATTTGCGAGCATCAATAAGTTGGTCATGAAAGGTGTGTGTCACCTGTCCACAAAGGAGTGGTGCAGGAGAAAAATGGGGTCGTTCGCTGAGCCCTGCACAGAGGACATGGATCCGTTCATGAAGATATGCAGAGCAGCATGCATGCCCATACGAGTGCTGCTGCCTAAGCCCGTCTGAGGGTCCCCAAATCCTGGAAGGGGAAAAACATGATCTCACACACAATTTTTTTTTTTTTTTTGTTTTTGCATTTCCTCAACCTTCCATGGTGTTCCGGAAGCTCATATTGGCGGTGCGATCCATGGCGCCCGTGTCATAGTTGGCCAAGCTGAGGGTGAAGGCAACCTCGGCGGAGGTGGGCAGACGCGGCACCCGGCTGTGGTCATGGTTGCCGGGGTTACGCCGAAGAGGGCCCTCGGCTCGGGCGTCGCACAGAACGCCGCGAGCGTTGTAGTCCTGCGCTTGGGAACACAGCGACTGTAGACAGAAACGGACAGTGTCAATCAACTTGTACATTACATTTTCAAAAACAAAGACTTGTCTTCAACAAACTTAGCAGAGTAATTTAAAAAAGAAATAAACTAAAAGAAAAGCAGGCTAATTGGCGGAGGTAAGGAAATAAAAAGGGTCGTTATATACCCTCCAGGAGGAGAAGACAGAGCCGGGACTAAGCAGAGTGGGGTCCCGGGGGTTTTGCTCCCCCATAAGCTGATCAGTGCACACGTCGCACCCCCGTGCATCCCTCCAGTCCCAGAAGGGGATAGAGAAGCTGTCATCCCCGGTGATCTTCCTGATCTCCCGCTCCCATTGCAGCAGGTAGACACGGTGCCACGGAAGGAACCCGGGCGCCCAGTGGGCAAAGTCTACGTCCACCCACACATTTCCCGCCCCGCCGAGCAGCGTGTCTCGGGACACATAGTAGTGCATCCACACGAAGATGTCGTACACGGAAACATTGGCAAAGGTGGGGTTGGAGCCATTCTCCATCTCCCGGTAGGTTCCCGTGGCGACCACGTAGTCGCTGCTCGGCGTCTGCTTGGCCAGGTTGAGGTAGGACACCAGCTGCATTCTCTCGGTTCGGGTCAAGTGGAACACGTTCCTCCGGAGGGATTCCCTCCTTTCAAGGCAGTTCACCCCGTAGTAGCCAAACTTGCAGTCGGCACAGCTGAACCCCATGAAGTTGCCCATGCACTGGCAGGTTCGGTTGTAGAACACCAGGGGCCACCTCTCCCGGTCGTCCACCCCCCTGAAAGGATACTGCGTCCCATCTGGTGCGTCCGGTACCACCACATCCCGACAGAAACCTCGACCGGAGCTGGCCCCGCACGCCGAGCCGTCCCCATCCCAAGGTGGGCAGCACTCCTTGGCCAGCAGAGCCTGGCGGGTGGCACAGGGGCGCGGGAACTGCTGCAGCCCCGGCTCCCAAAAGAGCATAAAAACCATGGCGACACACCACATCGCAGCCGGTGTGAAAGAAAAAAGAAAAGGCCTGGAAAACGGTCTGTCATGCTTTCAAGGCCTTAAAAGTCTTTTCCGACAGAGACTCCTCCTTCCGCGCTGAGTCCGGTCACATGCTGCTTAACCTCAGGATGAGGCTTTCACTGATGCTATTAGAGAGCTCACAACCACTCAGACAGAAATGATTGGTGAAGTAGCACATTTCTTGGGGGGGTGAATGAATGCAGTGAAAAAGCAAACTTGCTTCAACTTTAAAAGAAATTGAACGCTTGAAACTTGTTGAACACATGAAATCACAATTAAAGCAAACACTTTTATGGACCTGTTCAAACTCGGAGACTGAAAATTTGAGAGTCTTAGTTTTGAAAGAATGCAATTATTTTCATAAAAACCAAATTGTTGTCGAAATCCTGGACAGAAATCCCACCTCCTTTGACGTGATTACGTTCCAGAGAATAAAGTTTCAATTACATGCAAAAAAGAAATGTTTTATCAGAAAAACGTAGTGCATGTTAAAAAGTAGTCTTACAAAAGTCAAAACCCTTTTTTTTTTTTTTTTACGAGAATGTAATTTCATTTTGATGATAAAGTCAATGTATCGCATTCGTTTCAGGGTAAGAATTTCCCTGAGGCCATCACAGAGCTCCCAACCACTCAGAAACGATAAGCAATGAAGCTACTCGAAGTTAAGATAATCATATTTTATAATAGATCAATTTTTTTAAGGTTCGGTATCAGCTGTTTTTTATTTTTTTTATTTTCAAGTGCTGTGTGACTCAAGGTCAATTGAACAAACAACCGTTAACTCATGATCACCCCATGAAAGCATTTACAATTGAGGCCGCAAAAATATTCATAAAAACCCCACAGGCAATGTGGAACTGTAGGCCTTTTGTGGTGTGGGCATGAGACAGAGATGCACAGATAGACCGCAACACTACTTTAGACAAAGTCAAGATTTTACATCAAGGACAATCTTTGAGGAGAGTCACATGCTCACCTTTTAGCTGGCTGCCTAAACGACAAAATATAATTTGAGGTACTTTCATTTGGTCTCATGACAAACAGCAAAATGTGTAGCCTTTTCATTGGAAAAAATGTAACTTCAAGGGATGGGGTCGCATGACATCAAGAAAGGGAGAGTGATTGATGAGAAAGGTCATTTACAGATGCCATTTAACATTGGACGTTAGACATTTGAAATTGGTCTATAGTTGTTGCAAGACAGGAAAAACACGACATAAAGATCCTCAATTCACTTCATTATCGGTCTTTGGGACCAAGATATCACAAGATGGCCTCTAAGCACTCATTAAGCTCAACTCACTTTGACTAAATTCCTAAACAAAAACACATCACATGATGGCCCAACATACCGTAATATTTTCAGATTAAACAGGGCTTTAAGTTAGCGTTGGTAAATTTGTTCTGCTTTGGCACCACTGGTTTCAATTGAACGAGGAACCAAAATCATTATCTGCACTTGTGTTAGCATGTTCCTACGATGAAAAATACTACTCTTCTTATGATTTGGTGTGGCGCAATTGGAAACAAATTAGGAGCCAAGTCTTCTTTTAACACGGTGCACCTTCATTTGTTCGACATAAAATTTGTTTGTGGAAACCCCCAAACGCATTCTTTTGAAATTAATGTTGAACTCATTTGGCCACACTCACCACTTGAGCGACGAACAAGTGGAAAACGACGTGATCCCGGCCATGTCCAGGAACGCATGCGCATTAATGCGCGAAAAGCGAGGCAACATGGCTGACCTGAAAAGTAATAAATTGTAGCCCGTAACAAAATAAATATTCCCCTGTCACGGAGATTTATAACGTGTGGGCTGACTGAAACTTAAAAACAACCGCAAATCGCCACTCGTCTGTTAACTTGAGTTTCGGAGAGTATCTCCGCCACAAACAAAAAGTTCATCAAACGGCGCCACCCAATGGCACAGAAAGGGCTATGTCGTAAACGCCAACTTTTATCTTGAATGCCATATTGATTTAACTAATGGTGGACGACGATTAAACGATCATTAGTATTTGGTAGGAATAAGTGATCACGAGTATTTGTTTATGGTTTACTGTGAAAGCACCTCACCCTTTCATCCCCGGGGATGCTGCGCTGATGAAGCCGTCTGTGAGTGGGAGGGGACGGGGGCGATTAAGATAGAGACAGTTCGAGCCGAGGGAGGCAGCGGGTATTCGCTGCTGCTTCTTGTGCTCGCGATGTTCTTACTAGACGTGCTCCAACCAGAAGAGATCAAATGTATCGACGTTAAGAATAGTCAAAATTTCCCTGTGATGGAGACGCTCACATCCGCGTAGCCTACTCACTACATGGATACTACAGGACAGCAGGTAGGCTGAAATAAAGTTTGAGTGTGGCTAATTCGTGGTTTCAGAGAAGCTCTTGCAGACCTGGAGAGTTAATGTGTTGATTACCTGTTGTTAATATTATTGTTATATTTAGATTACATGGCAGATATTCCAGAATGAGGCTCAACGATATGATTTCTATCCTTCATCTGTGATGTGCATTTAGATTTAGCCGAGCCCCCAGCACCTGTACTATTAAAATAAAGCCCCAGAACGGTGAATATTCAACCAATTTACACAAAATTATAACCAAGCTTGTCTAAACCTTTTCCTATTAAAAAAAAAAAAAAAAAAACAGTCGTAATTTTACAATGAAGTCACGTACAAAAATTAAATTGTAATGGCAAAAAAAATTGTACAAGGAGAAAAATCTTAAACAGGGATTAAGTTGTAATATGATAAAAAAAAGGAAGTTTTAATATTTTTAGTTGAGTGAAGTCACATTACAAGTATAAAATATATCATGATAAAGTACACGTCACAATCAATTTGTATTTCTACAATACACATGAAGTAGAGTTGCATGGAAATCACTAGGCAGTTTGGTTTGGGGTAAAAAAAACAGATGCAAAAGAGATTAAAACCTAAACTGCCTGCGGTGGAGCGAATGAAAAGCGAGCATTGTGTGCATTTGCCACCCACAAGCCCTCATTGGCCATGCTCCAGCTTCACTGTTTATGGCTTCAGCACCATGGACAGCATGACGTTGTTGCATTTGTGCAATGTTTACATTTATCTGTCATACAAAAGTAAAACTCATGCTATCATTCTACTCAAGTCAACTCGAAACCAGTGAGCGGCACGCATGCGGAGCTCACCTCTGAGAAGATGGCGGCAGGTATGAGAAGGAACGGCAGGGTGGTGTGGAGAATGGGGGTGTACGCACGACTGCTGGCTGCGAGCGTACTGCTGGGAGCCGAGCTGAGCCGACTGGGTTCGCGGGATCGGGTCGGGGTCGGCGCCCAGAACAACGAGAGAAGGGTGCTGGCTCGCATCCCGGGCGACATCATCATCGGAGCTCTCTTCTCCGTCCATCACCAGCCGCCCGCAGACAAGGTGGATACTGTTGATTGTCAGCGTTAAGTGTAAATGTGACGTTTGTATGGTGACCTCTCTCAGGTGCACGAGAGGAAGTGCGGGGCGGTGCGCGAGCAATATGGCATCCAGAGAGTGGAGGCCATGATGCACACGCTGGATCGGATCAACGCCGATCCCAACATTCTCCCCAATATTAGTCTGGGCTGTGAGATCAGGTAAATCTTTGACTTTTACAAGCCATTTTTGAGCTAAAGCATGAACAAGAGGGGTGCTAGGATAGACCCCAGAGGAAAAACTTTGTATCTACCTGCAGGGACTCATGCTGGCACTCCGCCGTGGCCCTGGAGCAGAGCATCGAGTTCATCCGGGACACGCTGGTGTCCAGCGAGGAGGAGGAGAGCCAGGCCAGGTGCATCGCACCTGGTGGCATTGCACCGGTGCCGCAGAGTAAGAAGCCCATCATCGGCCTCATCGGGCCGGGATCCAGTTCGGTGGCCATCCAGGTCCAGAACTTGCTGCAGCTCTTCAACATCCCTCAAATCGCCTACTCGGCCACCAGCATGACTCTCAGTGACAAGGTTCGGGAAACCTTTTGTAAAAAAAACAAATGATCAAGTCACCTTTTGCTCAGCATCGTCGTGTAACAATCGGATTGTGTTTCACAAGATAACAAATGGCGAGCATTATTTTACAGGTAAGACAGTGGCGATTGAGGAGTAAAAGGATAAAGACATTGCAACTCAGCATGCTCATTAACCAAGCTGGCTAAGCTTGCTACTGAAATGGCATTACTTGGCCTCACTGTAGCGCTAGCGTATTGGTTAACGAGCATTTTTCATAACTCTTCAAATGAGCAAAAACATCTCGAATCCTCAGAAGATATGTCATTTCTGTTCATTCTTTGTGTGCTGTGATTGGCTCAGCAAAAGGTGAATTGTGACCACACTTTTTAAAGACAAACGCGCCTTCGTCTTCACAGAGCTTGTTTAAGTACTTCATGAGGGTGGTGCCGTCAGACATGCAGCAGGCCAGAGCCATGGTGGACATTGTCAAGAGGTACAACTGGAGCTACGTGTCTGCCATACACACCGAGGGTAAGGGTTCGAAAGATCAGAGTGACTGCTATCTCTAAATGTGTTATCAATTACAGTAGAAACTCAAAAGGGGGAATGCAATCGCTTTTGTCACGCCTCACATTTTTCAACATTCTTTTAACCGTCATCTTCCTATACTTCCACTACCAGAAACCGCCAATAACCCTCGCCCCCCCCGCCCCCCTCCCTGACCCCAGGTAACTACGGCGAGAGCGGCATGGAGGCGTTCAAGGACATGGCGGCCAAAGAGGGGATCTGCATCGCACACTCGGACAAGATCTACAGCAACGCCGGCGAGCGCGCCTTTGACCGGCTGCTACACAAACTGCGGGCACACCTGCCCAAAGCCCGTGTGGTGGCCTGCTTCTGCGAGGGCATGACCGTGCGAGGCATCCTCGCCGCCATGCGCCGCCAGCGCCTGGTGGGCGACTTCCTACTGGTGGGGAGGTGAGACGGCCGAGAGAACTCACTCTCATCCTATACATCCCATCATCCATCCTCCGTCATCGCCATGGAAACGAGAAGGTACCGCTGTTTCTGTTCTTTATGCTTTGCTCTGTTGTGCTTTTTCTAAATGTGTTCAAGAGTTGGATGGAAGGAAAGCGTGCGGAGGAGTGGAAGGGAGGGCCGATGATTGGGGGAGTGGGGAGGGGGGTTCGTAGCTGCCGGTGGGCGGAGGAATAAGCAGCAAGTGAGGGGGTTGATGCAACCGCAGGATTGGCCGCGTCTCCCAAGAAGGTGTTTTATTTTAAGGTTGCCGGGCGTTCTATAAATGCTTCTGCTCATTAGGAGATGCACATGTGGGCTGCAGGGGGGGTGGGGGGGGGGACATGTCAAATAACCTTGAACTACATTTCACAAAACACGTCGTACACGTGTGCGCTGTGCTGCTTTTGTCAAATGTGTAATGACGTCCATGTTGTTGCTCGCGTGCTAATGAGACAAAATGCCTTCATCGTCACTGGCGTCGCCATCAACTACATGGACAGGCAACGTCTCAAGTCACATTTGAAGATGGATAAATGTCATAAATAGATACGTATAAAAATGACAATAGTCTGTTGCTGTAACACGCATCTATTTTTTTTTTTTTTTACTACCATGGAAAGAGTTTAATCAGATCAAATTGGAAGGTTAAAAACTATTTTAAATATGCTTTAAAAAGCTTCTAAATTTAATGATGGTGTATTGCAAAGCCAGGGATAGGATTCCAAATTAGCGTTTCATATTAGGATTTCAAAATCGGGTTTCACATTTTGGTTGAGGGTTTCAAATGAGGTTTTCAAGTCAAGGTTATTATGGTTGCAAATTAGGGTTTCGAGCCTGGGTTGTGGCTTTCAATAAGTTGCGGTTATCATTTTGAATTCATGTTTGGTGTCAAGGCTCTGTTCGGGTCTCAAGCCAGGGTTATCGTTTTAAATGAGGGCGACCGTTTCAGTTTTAGGTTTCAAACCTTGGTTGAGGCTTTCAGAATGGGGTTGAGGTTTGAAATTAAGGTTTCATGTCAGGACGAGGGCTTCAAATTTGGTTTTGAAGCCTGGGTTTGGCGTTCAGTTAAAGGTTAGGGTTTGGTAAATTGAAGGTTTGCATTCAGGCTGCAAGCCTAGGTTAGAGAGAAGACAAATTGTGAAAAGAATACGTTTTCTGAGCATCTTCATCACGTTTGATTCAGATGCATTCGATTGGGGGGGCGGGGGGGGGTTCTAATTAAGCATCGGCTGAGAGCCGATTGAAAAGCCCATGAGCTGACACATTAAGACGATAGTGGGACCGGAGCCAAATAAGCTCACGTCTATTCTCGGCGCTCCGGCCGCACGCGCGCGCCCGTTTCAAGAAATAAAAAAGCAGCAAAAGTTTACGACAGCGTCCCAGAGTTACACAAGCCTGGTGTGGGCGTCCATTTTGTAACACATCCTCCGAGAGGCTACACGCTCGTGGTGAAAAGCACGCGGGGCTCCGACTCTGAGAGTTTGAATCACTCCTGAACTAAAACCCACGCACCCGAGCGCTCGTGGAGGCTGGGGGAGGGGGGGGGGCAGCAACCACATCGCCCCCTTTTGCTACACCACCTACACACGCGAGCACACATCAACAGACGCACTTCGAGTCAACACGGGTGAACTTTGAAGCAGATCTTTTTCCGAGTAGCCACTTTTACTGCAGAGGAACAAACCTCATCCAGTGTTCAAACGTAACCTAAAATAAGAAAGCACTCGTTTTCCCCTGACGAGCACGCTTCATGGAAATATTCGTCATCCTGGATTCAAAGCTGAATTTGAAACCCTAACCTTGCCGTGCTTTTGTAATTTGAAACCCGTGTCTGTACCTGTCCGTGCCTGCCCCAAGATGAGAACCACTGATTTGATCTTAACTGCATTTTTGAAAAACTTTTATGGCAGTTGCCACATTCAAATGTGACTCAAAAATTAAAACGAGTCCAATGAATTTAAGAAAGCGGTTAGCAGAACTGATGATGTTCTTCCGTTTAGCGACGGCTGGGCGGACCGCTACGACGTGACCGACGGCTTGGAGCGGGAGGCGGCAGGCGGCATCACCATCAAGCTCAAGTCGGCCTACGTGACGTGGTTCGACGACTACTACCTGAAGCTCAAGCCCGACACCAACCTGAGGAACCCCTGGTTCCCCGAATTTTGGCAGCACCGCTTCCAGTGCAAGCTGAGGGGCGTCCCGCAGGAGAGCACCGCCTACAACCGCACGTGCAGCTGTGAGACCTCTTCCTGCCAATGCCAGGAGATGGCAATAGAGCGGCGTTTAAAAAAAAATCAAAAAAACGTCCCTTCTGTGCAGGGAGAGAGTCCTTGCGTCACCAGTACGCCCAGGACACCAAGATGGGCTTTGTCATCAATGCCATCTACTCCATGGCGTACGGTCTGCACGCCATGCAGCAGAACCTCTGCCCGGGATACAAGGTACACCCGAGACGTTTGACAAACTTTTACGATGATTGAACACCCTTGGAAATAATGCTCATGTTTGATAAGATAACCTTTATTTGTCGCACAATGGATTTTGGCCATCATAAAACAGACTCCGCCCCTTTTTTTGACACTTCTGCAGTTGTACCAGAGTTACAAATTAGGGTTTCAATGCAGGGAATCTATGACTAAATAGGGTTTCAAGTCAGGGTTAGGGTTTTCATTCAGGATTTTAAGACAGGTTTGCAGTTTTGTAATAAGGTTTCAGGCCAGTGTAAGGGTTTCAAATCTGGATTAGGTTCAGGTTTCAATGAGGTTTTGAAGTTATGGGTTAGGATTTTAAATTCGGGTTTGAAGATCGGGTATCAAAGTAGGGTTCTAAGTCATTGTTAAGAGTTTGGAGCCTGGGTTAGGGATTCATGGTGGGGTTTCAAATTTAGGTTTCAAACTAGGGTTAGGGTTTTAAGTGTTTCAAATCAGGTTTGTGGTTTCAAATTGAGAGTTTCAAGACAGAGTTGGGGTTTCAACGTCGAGTTTCAAGTCAGGGTTAGGGCTTCAAATTAGGTTTTCAAATCAGTGTTAGGGTTTCAAATTCAGATTTCAAGACAGGTTACCGTTTCAAATTACGGTTAGAGTTTCAAAGTAGGCTTTCAAATTTTGGTTTTCAGGCCAGCGTTAGGGTTTTCAAGTAAGACTTCAAGCCAGCATTAGGTTCTGTCCAGGGTCTGTGTGAGGCCATGCGGCCCGTGGACGGCCGCCAGCTCCTGGACTACCTGATGCAAACCAACTTCACGGGCGTGTCGGGAGAAGTCATCCACTTTGACCAGAACGGAGACTCACCTGGCAGGTGAAAACGAGGCAGCGCCTCCTCCCGCACGTGACAGTCGACTGACGGCGCTTTGGTCCCAGGTACGAGATCATGAACTTCAAGCAAATGGCCGAGGACGAGTACGCCTACGTGCACGTGGGCAGCTGGGACCAGGGCGGCCTGCGCATGAACGACCAGGAGATCTGGAACAACGACAGCGACGTCATACTCTCCGTCTGCTCCGAGCCCTGCCAGAAGGCCCAGATCAAGGTGAGACCAGGGCGACAACGGGGTTGGGTTTCAAAGACAGCTGACAAAAGGTGACCAGAAGGCCCAGATCAAGGTGAGACCAGGGCGACAATGCGGTTGGGTTTCAACGACAAAAGGTGACGAGGAAGATTTGATTGAACAATTTTGACAGGTGATCCGCAAAGGCGAGGTGAGCTGTTGCTGGACCTGCACGCCTTGCAAGGACAACGAGTTTGTGTTCGACGAGTACACGTGTCGCGCCTGCCCGCTGGGCTCGTGGCCCACCGACGACCTGCGTGGTAAGAAACTAAAATAACACACAAGGCAAAAAATAAAAATAACGCCGGACCCTTCTGTTTTTTTTTCCTTCCCCGTGGAGGTTGCGAGCCCATCCCGGTGCAGTACGTGCGCTGGGCCGATCCGGAACCCGTCGCCGCCGTCGTCTTTGCCTGTCTGGGCCTACTGGCGACGCTCTTTGTTACAGCCGTCTTCATCAAGTAAGTCCCACGGGGTCCATTTTGACTGCCTATTAACCTTGACCAATTCAAATTGAAATGTTAGGAGGACGCCATTTTTAAATCCCAAAAGTAGCATTTAAAAATACGATGATGATCATTTTTCGACATCGTTCAGCCCTCGCGCCATCTGCGCCAGGCAGTCACGCGACTCTCGCTGTCATCTGACTGGCCGGCAGGTTCTGGGACACGCCGGTGGTGAAGTCGTCCAGCCGGGAGCTGTGCTACATCATTCTGGCGGGCATTTGTCTGGGCTACGCGTGCACGTTCAGCCTGATCGCCAAGCCGCACCTGGTCTACTGCTACCTGCAGAGGCTTGGCATCGGCTTGTCGCCCGCCATGAGCTACTCCGCCTTGGTCACAAAGGTGACGAGCGTCACTTCCCGTTTCCGAAGCGCAACGCCAGCTGTGATGCCGGTTGACTTTAGAGTGGTTGTCATTTGCACCGCATCGTTCTAAAAGTCAAACGACTCACCCTGGAAGATTGGCGCGCAGTACGGCACATGCGGTGGTGGGAGTGAGTCGTGACAAAGGGGGATTATCAATATGTATTTCTGTATATTGTGCTGGCCGGCTCGATAAGCTCTTGATCTATTTTGGAACGCAGACCAATCGCATCGCTCGCATCCTGGCAGGCAGCAAGAAGAAGATCTGCACCAAGAAGCCTCGCTTCATGTCCGCCTGCGCTCAGCTGGTCATCGCCTTCCTGCTCATCCTGCTGCAGCTCGCCATCATTGTGGCGCTGCTCGTCATCGAGCCCCCAGAGGTGGGTTTTCCGGAGGGTGTACGCGGGGGGGGTCAGGACGTGGAAGGGGTTGCGTGCCTTTTATTTTGACTATTTTGATAGGGGGTGAAGGGGTGCGCCAACATCATGAGGAAACTAAAGGGGGTTATAATGTGGCTTTGAACAGGTTTTCTTTTGTCAATTGTTTCCAAAGGGTGTGCCGAATCAGACGGGGTGGTGAACGGCTTCAAACGCTGTTTTGAGCTTTTTGAACGGGAATTCTATCCGAGCGCAAACTCTCTCATCGCGTTGGCATTGTTTTGACACATTTACAGGGCGTGCGAGGGAGAGCGGTTGGGCGCCAGCTACATTGTCATGTTGGAAGGAGTGTGTGGCTTTTTACAGGTTTTCTTTTCCTATTTTTTTCCAAGTTTGGGAGAAGGTGTTCACCAAAATTTTAACCGGGTAGATGTTTTAAACCGGCACCCCGTGCCCACCCCCCATTTCCCTCTACACCACTCGCGATCGACTGGTTGGGCACCCCAGTTTTAAACTGTATGATGTAACATGGCTGTAAATGTGCTCTTTAGGTGATTCACGACTACCCCAGCATACGTGAGGTGCACTTAATCTGTAACCTCACCACTCTGGGGGTGGTGGCGCCCTTGGGCTACAACGGCCTGCTCATCCTCAGCTGCACCTTTTACGCCTTCAAGGTGCGCATGCACACGCGCCACGCATCGTCAATATGGTCTCTGGAGCTTTTTTTTCTTTTCTCGGCGCAGACTCGTAACGTTCCGGCCAATTTCAACGAGGCCAAGTACATCGCCTTCACCATGTACACCACCTGCATCATCTGGCTGGCCTTTGTGCCCATCTACTTTGGCTCCAACTACAAGATTATCACCATGTGTTTCAGCGTTAGCCTCAGCGCCACCGTGGCGCTCTGTTGCATGTTTGTGCCCAAGGTAAGCGCCGCCGCCGCAGCCGCCACACCTGCCTGAACCAGCCCCGTCTTTTTGAGCTTTATATTCCGCCCCGTCAGGTGTACATTATGCTGGCCAAGCCGGAGAAGAACGTGCGCAGCGCATTTACCACGTCCACGGTGGTGCGCATGCATGTGGGCAACGCCAAGAAAGCCGCCAAGGCGAGTAAGCCGTCTAGTAGCATGGCCAACCTGTTCAGGCGCCGATCATCCGCGCAGGACAATGTCAGGTACGGGGTTTCATATGGCTATTGCATGTTGCCGCACCACCACTTCCCTCCTTGAATCCTTTAAAAAAAAAAAACCTTGGACACGCCCTCGAAAAACAAAAAAAATAAGGCTGTTTAAAGCGACAGAACATCTTCAACATCCTGAGACAATTGGTGCACCCCTCAAAAGAGCCGCAAAATGTACCCTTGTTTCAAGCCACCCACTTGCGTTTGTTCTGGCATACTTGGCACACCCCCAAACCCGTGCACGCGCCCTAAAAATGATCAAAACTATTTACAGCGAAGCACCCCCTTCAATTTCCTAATGACGTGCCCGCACCCGCTGTCGACCACGCACACCCTGAAGATTTCCAAAACAAAAAGTTTAAAGCCACGCACCCCCTTCAACATGATGGTTGGCGCACCCCTTGTCCATGTACACACCCTAAACATTGTCATAGCATGTAAATGTCAGCATTTCCAGGAACTACCCACGCCCCGCAAACAGACAGAATGCATCGAAAGACAGAGAGGAAAAGAAAAAATAGCCCTCGGCATACGTGGCCTCATTTTGTTTGATCTTTTGGGAATTTGATTCAGATTTTTCTTTCGAGGAAAGATGATGGATAACGGCGGGGGATGCACAGTTACGTGGTAGGAGAGAGGGAAGGGGGAGATTATGGGAGGAACGCCAGTAAGTGGAACATCGAAGGTCGAGACTGTGACTCGAGTTTTGTTCCCAGCTCCAACGGGAAGTCGGCTGCCTGGAAGCAGAACGAGCGCAGCTACAGGCCCAACCTTTGGAAGAGGATGACCTTTCACGTCAAGAAGAAGGACGCCGTGGAAGCCAACCAGACCGCCATCATCAAACCGTTCTCCACGGGCGGCGGCGGCGAGGACGCGGCGAGCGTCCAGTCTCAACGGTTCGGAGACGACACCAGACCGACGCCCGCCGAGCTCCCCGTCGGCGACATCAGCGTCATCGGCGTGGGCGAACTCGGCATGATGGCCGGTCCCGTAGAGAGCGCCACCGTCATGGAGCAAATCAACACCGTGGTGGTCAACAGCTTCAACCAGCGGGACGTCGCCGCCCTGCCGGCAGCCGCCCTCGCCGACGGCCCCGCCGGGAAGCTCTACGAGCACCTGGCGCGCCGCATCAGGGACACGGAAAAGCTCGCCGTACTGACGCCGCCGTCACCGTTCCGGGATGCTTCGCTCAGCTCCGAGGAAAGCGACGACGCTTGCTCCTCGCGCTCGCTATCTGGGGCCTCAGAGGCGGAATACGGGCAGCTGCTGCCGCGCCATTACAGCCAGAGTGCTTCCTCTCTGTAAACGCTGCTTCCCACGGACCAAACTTGTGGTGCCTTTAATACGGTGGAAAAGTCTGACATGGATATACGTTCCTTTCATGGTCAAGTAACGAGGACCTGATAATGCTAGCGCTAAAAGAAAGCAAAACTTCCCACGGACCAAACTTGTGGTGCCTTTAATACGTTCCTTTCATGGTCAAGTAATGAGGACCTGATAATGCTAACGCTAAAAGAAAGCAAAAGAGTCAACGCGGAATTCATTGCTCCTGAAATTGTGATTTTTTTTTTTCCCCCTCCAGAAATTATCCAGGTCCCACGTCTAATCATGACAGGGATACACGGCACCAGGCGTAGGAAAGCATTAAGCGACGAGGGCATGCTAATGATAACGTGAATAAGAAGCTGGAACATGCTTCCCTTACAGGCTTAAACGCTATCTTGGAATTTAGAAGATGGCAACTTTTCCAGGAACTGTCCAAGTCATGTTCCAAATCTAACATGGATTCACTGCGTCACACCTAGCTTAAGAGAGAACGTGCATTCCTTGAGCCTTCCATCTTAGATTTTTCCAAGATGGCAGCTTTCCCAGGAACTAGCCACATCCCGCTGCTATGACAACATTGATTCAATCCAACAGGAAAACAGCAAGTCAAGCAAATGTCCTAATGCTAACGCTAAAACAAAAAGCGGAGAATGTGATTTTAGTGCCAAGAGGAACTATCCAGGCCCTGCTCCTATTCTCGCGGTTTCACTGCATCGGGTGTCCAAGAATGTCAAGGGAATAGGACATCCTGACGGAGGAATTTTCGGAATTTCATCACTTGATACGGCGAACGCATCGCTTAAGAAAAGCAATGACCCACGCTCCTCATCGAACACAAATTCACTGCAGCAGGTGAAAAATGTTCATATTTGAATTTGACAACACTTTATTTCCGGGCAACAGGAAGTGTTTACACCCGAATTACAGTTGATATTCGTATTTGTTCAAATTTGTTGGTATTTTTTTTTTATCCGATTGGTAATAATGTACTGTAAAAACAAGAAGAAAAAAAAGAGTTTTGATGAACTTTGAGGATGACTGACTTTGTCCGTTTACTTTGTGCAACTTCCTACGTGTCTTTTTTTAATTTTTTTTTTTTAAGTTGATGCGTTGGCGCTCGCCGAATTGAGCTCTCGCGAGGACTCCGGATGTTTCGTTGTTTATGTGACTTTAAAAGGCGATTCTTCTTTTTTCCATGAACCAAATGAGCTAATACTATCGATATCCTACATGAGTGCTATTTGCATCTTTGTGTGTTTTTCTTATGGATTCATAATACTTTGTAAGATATTTCTACGAACCTTGGGAGAAAAAAAAAAAAAGTTAATTAACAAGTGAATGTCATTGTGGTTTAAAATGGACCAAAAACCACCTCAGGACTGACAGTGTAGCAGAGTGCTGAAATCTTGATAATGATGATTTAGATTTTTTTTTTTTTAGATAATTTCATCTTTTATTTCATGTTGAATTTTTCGATTTTTGCGGGAGGGTTCAAATAACTTGCTCCGGTTTTGTTTTTGGTCCCTGCAGACTTTTATATCCAACTAGAGGATAGCCACAGTAGTGCAGTTTGTTTCTCAAAGTCACTGGGCCCGTTTCACAAACAAGGCTTAAGCCCGAAGCCAAACCCAAATGCTTTTCAAATATTCTTTTTCTTTGTCCCCAACTTTGCAAGATGGGTTGGGTTGAATTCTATTATTCATCTTGAGTCAAAACTTTGTTTGTTTAGGTGAATGTCATTTTTCTTATGAGATGTTTTCTTTTAGAATTTACAGTATATGTGTTTGTGTTGCTGCATGTTTACTCGCACGCGCGCATGCATGTTGGTGCGATATTCGACGACAGTGTTGCCATGTTTGCATGTAGCTTTGTGACATTAGACACTCTTTCGATTCTGATCGAAACGCCAACGAGCTCGTTCAACTCAAAAACAATTTGCCTCGAGTTGTTTATGAACTTGAGTTTGTCGCAAGCGTAATAGTTGACGCCGAGTCCTTGTATCAATAAAGTGAAGTCAAAGTTGGCTGCCGTATTATACCTGTGCAAATGTTTATCTTTCGTTTCAAAGTGGAGTCCATGACTATTAATGACCACGTATTGGTTGTCAAAGTCAAATATTTAAGTGAGGAAACTTGGAAATAGTCAAAACAAATACTTAAGGTTTCAAAGTTTGGATTTAAATCCGGGTTCGGGTTTCGAGCAGGCTCAAAGTCAGCTTTTGAGGCCGAGTTAAGGTTTCAAATTGGGACTTCCGGCCCGAGGTTGGAGTTTTAAAGTAGGGTTTCAAGCCTAATTTGACGTTGAGGTTTCATGACAAGGAAGGGCTTCAGGGTAGAGTTTCGAGCATGGGTGAGGGTTTCAAATGAGAGTTTCAAGCCTCGGCCATGGTTCCAAACAAGCTTTAGGGTTTCAAATTAGTTTTAAAAGCACCGCTGGGCTTCAAGTTGTGGTTTGAAACCGGAGTTAGGGTTTGTTTGACCTTCAAACAAGTAGTTCAAAGTAGGGTTTCGAGCCTGTGTTCAAGTTTCAAGTCGTCAGGGTAAGCGTTTCAAGGTGGGTTATGGTCTCAGATTAGGGTGTTCGTCAACATTTGAGGTTTCAAACATTAGCTTAGGGGTTTTAATGTTGCATTTCAAGCAAGGGTTAATGATTCAAATCAAGGTTTCAAGACCCCGTTCAGTTTCAAAGTAGGGTTTCAGTCTTGGGTCAAATGAGGATTAAATTAGGGTTGCAAGGCTGGTTTTCAGATGGCCACAAGGTTAAGGTTTTTTTTTTTTTTTGTAAATGTGCATTTTAGCTGCAGGCTGTGATGACATCTCACCATATCTTCGATATATCATTCCAATTCCCTGGTGTCATCACCATAATTAGCATGTCAACAGGAAGCGGCGGCGCACAACGGAGCCCGCCCCTCCCCGCGCGCTCACGAGAGCCGGCAAGCGGGAGCGCGTCTCTGCGTGTAGGGTGCGCGCGCCCAAGAGAGAGAGAGCGAGAAAGAGAGCGACAGAGCGTGTGAGCGAGGGTGGCCTGAGAGCATGGCGAGCGCCGGCAAGGAGCACCTGTACAAGGTACTGGTGATCGGCGACCTGGGCGTGGGCAAGACCTCCATCATCCGCCGCTACGTGCACCACACCTACTCGCACAACTACCGCGCCACCATCGGCGTGGACTTTGCGCTCAAGGTGCTGCGCTGGGGTGCCGACGACACGGTGCGCCTGCAGCTGTGGGACATCGCCGGTGAGTGACCCCCGAACGCACGCACGCACGCGCAGTTGGCTCTAAGCGACTTTGGTTGAAGTGACTCGATCGCGTAATCCCTCAACTCGGACGGGCTCACTCGACTTCCTCAAATGTTTACTTTTTTTTTTCTTTTTTTTTTAAGGGGAAATAAGCAAAAGACAAAATGTGCAGCGTCGCCCTGCGTGCAACACAACTTTCTTAAATGTTCGGTCACGGAAGCGCGTCCACGTGGGCGGGGGGAGGAGGGGTGCATAAAGTAATTAGAAAAAAAATGTATTCAAAGATTCGATTGCATTCATTAGGGCTACAACTAATGATTATTTTGATAACGGAATACAGGTAATCTGTCGATTCATTGATGGGATGACGTTTGCATTTCAAGTTGACAGCGCAGTTTTATGATGAGAATCCAGGTGTATTATCTTCTCATGGCAAAAATCATTCTATTTAGTGACAAGGTTGGAATTTTTCCAAAGCACACAGTAGACCTATAATACAAACATTTTACAAGACTAAAAGCCGTGGTTTTTTTTTTCTACTTTAAAAACCATTCATGCAACCAGAATAAAGTCAGAAAGTTTTCCAAACTAAAAAAAAAAAACAACTTTATAGTCCAAGAGTCAAGCGTCAGCCTCCTTCGCTCATGTGAGGCTTGTTAGCGTCTTCTGTTGGGTGGGGCTTTGGGGGGGTGCAACGTGACACAATTGATGTTAGGCGCAAACCCGGGTCACCAGATGTGCTCTTTGTCTCGCTTGAGATCCGCATCGGATGCAATGCCCCTCATGTGACCTGCGCCATTTAAAACAATGCCGGGCCAACGGCAGCGTGACAAATGTCTGGACGGTAGCTGTGTGTATTTCTTTTTTTTTTTTGGTCCACAAAGGAGGAAGTGCAGGGTGAACATCCTGTCATATGGCGGCTGGTGATTCAGCTGCACGCTTATTTGTTTCGCACATGGGAAATGTCACAGCGACGACAGCGAGAACCTGCTCTTACTTACACACACACACGCACGCACGCACGCACGCACGCACGCACGCACGCCAGGTCTTGTGCAAATAGTCATTGTTAGTGTCAACAAGCACAGCCTGTGTGCACTGAAGGAATGTGCAACATCTTCAACAAAAACATCAACTACCGCAACGTCCATTAGCGTGCCAAAAGCGCTGCGTGTCTCACCGCTTGTCTTCGTAACGTGACCCACGAGGGCGGCCGTGGGCGCCGTCATTGTCATCCTGAAACAGAAGGTCGCTTTGTATTAGAATGAACAAAAATGACAAGGAAAAGTTTGATTCAAAGTCAAATGTAAACACTTATTTTTTTTCAAGAAAATCATATTTTCCAAGTAAACAGTCGCAATATCATCACAGTGGTCATTTTTTCCAGATGTTTTTTTTTTCTAGATAAAAGATGTTTCCCGAGAAAAAGACCGTTTTGTTATTGTGTATTTTGCGTATTTGGTGGCAGGCCAGGAGCGCTTCGGCAACATGACGCGGGTGTACTACCGCGAGGCGACCGGCGCGTTCATCGTGTTCGACATGACACGTCCCAGCACCTTCGAGGCGGTGCTCAAGTGGAAGGCGGACCTGGACTCCAAGCTGATGCTGGCCGACGGCCGCGGCATCGCCACGGTGCTCCTGGCCAACAAGTGCGAGCAGGGCCACCCGCTTCCCGCTAATGGCCTCAAGATGGAGCAGTTCTGCAAGGAGCACGGATTCGCCGGCTGCTTCGAGACCTCTGCCAAGGTTTCCCTTCATGTTTTTCCCATGCTTGGAGATGACCAAAAAAAAAAAAAAAAGTCTACACACCCCTGTTCAAATTCCAGGGTTTTAAAGTTCAGCTGTTCTATAGCTGTTGACATATATGTTTTTTCTTTTGAAAATGTCTTTTTTTGAAGCATGTTGTGATGTGATATCCGGTTAAAATATGAAAGACAAAATTATTTGAACTAATATTTTGAAAACAACAACACTGATTATTACTCTGACATGATATTTGTTATTTGAAAAACGTATGCACATTTAAAAAGGTTGAAAATAATTGGTTCTTCTTCCTTTTATCACAGGACAATCTAAACATCGACGAGGCGGCCAACTTCCTGGTGACTCAAATCATGGCGAGCGAGCACGCCTTGCTGAGGAGAGCCGCGGCCACCGACACCGTCACGCCACAACTGGACCGACGTCGCCGGTCGGACGGATGCGTGGGATGCCTCAAGTGAACTGAAGGAGACCCTCAAAAACTCCATTTTGCACATCTTTCAGTTTCAAATCCTCTTTTTTTTTTTTTTTAATTATTTATTTGCGATATTTTGACAACTGACGGAATGGTCGTCGTAGTATTTATTCAGTTTGCTTTCATTTAACAGTCCCATCAGAATTCATATTTCACACATACACAAATATGGCCCAACTGTTAATAATTTTTGGGCCAGTGTAACATTATGCAGTTTGAATGTTTTGAATGTGAACATTGCGCTTTAACATTGGGGAGAAAATTGCTTAAATTAAAAAAAAAATGCTCATGCGTTTAAGTTTTAAACACAACAAAGGAGTCTTCATCTTGCCCTGTAGTTGGCTCCTATTTCAAACGACAATTGATACCATGCTAATATGCTAACAGTTGGAATGCTCACACAAGGCAAGATGGCCACCTGGCCAGAGTTCAGAAAGCGCTAAAGCAGTTCGACATGGATTTTACACACATGGTCAGGTAGTATTTCTGATAAGGAATACCAACAGTCATTATATTAATCGCATTACTGACCTTCTTCGTGTTGAATTATTCCGCCATCTTGACAAGGTTGAGTGTCCATCCTACGCATCAGCAGCTTTGACGTAAAGACACCAGCTGAATGGCATTCCAATTAAGTGGATTACGTAGCCTTGTTCTCGAAATTCTGGCGCCCCCTGGTGGCACGTTGTTCGAATTACAACTTTTTACGAGTGATACGTTCATGTTCGCACAGAAAGCTGATGAAAGTTTTGCGACTCTCCCTAAAGAATCGTGTTTTTTTCCACTAAAAGAGGAAAAAAATCCCAAACATTTAAATGGTTCTACTCAAATATATGTAAATATAAACGTTATATTTTTACACATGAAATCCAGGTGAAGATGCTGTGTTTGAGTGTAAATCTGTACATATTTAAACGTATTACATTTACCAAAGATCAAAGGTCGAAAGTAACGCATTTACAGCAAAGAAACCAAATGCAACAGTAATCAATATAAGACAATGGTTATGTATCTATTCCTGAACCTTGGCAGGACATTTATGGGTGAGTGTACCTGTTAAAGCAGTTGTGGGGAAAACTATGATATTATATTCATCCATCCATTTTCAACATTGCTTATCTTGAAGAGGTTTGCGGGGGCGTTGCTGAAGCCTATCCCGGGAGACTTCGGGCAGAATGCAGACTACACCTGAACTGGTCCCCAGTCGGTCACAGGGCACATATGGAGACGAACGAACATTCACACCCACATGGAACACGTCACTGAGTGGCAACCTATGCCACGGTGTCTGCACCGTGTACCACTACACTGTCAGCGACTGATATAATATTGTATAATAAAAAATATATATACGGTATAATGAATTAAAACATTCTAAAAGTGAGTGGTTAATTCATTGTAGTTAAATATTGCATCATAACGCAATTTCAAAACTGAGTATAAATGACTATGAAAGTAAAATATGAGACATACCCATTTATTTATTAATTTACTTACTTTTTACCACATCTCTGTACGGCAATGACTTGTGCATTTTAAAAATAAAATGTGGTCTTCGAGCACCAAAGAAACAAAATGGTGCCTACTCGTACAAATATAGATGCAGGTGTTGGCATCTACGAAACATGGTTCAGGAACTTATTAGCATACAAAAATAGAAAAATGAGAAAAGAAAAGACTAGAAATTTGCATAAGGCCTCCGTGCCTCTAAATGTCCTCCAAATGTCCTTCAGACCCAGCTGTTGTTGAGGAAGCTGAGGTAGGGGTCAAGAGTAAGGTGTCGAGGTGTGACGCGAGGAGGGATTGGGGGTCGAGGAGTCGCAGCTGGTCTGGCCCGAGGTCGCGGGCCTCGCTACAGACGCGCTGAGTGAGCGTCCTGACGCTGAGGCATGTGGTGGTCTTCAGGTGACGAAGATAGTTCTGCTCCACTAGAAGCTTTTCACGCTCGCACTTCTGAGGCAAGACAACACACAACATAGCCGTTGCGTTGCAGGGAAGCCATCACTCAAGAAAAATAACTCACGGACACATGAAACTGATTGACTAATTTGCAGACTAGCTAAATGGTTAACTCGCAAATAACGACCTGTAAATGACCTACCTGACACATTTACTTGAGTTGTAAACGTTCTGTTTTGACGTCAATGACAATCTGTTTCGCTGGCAAACAGCATCATCTATGTTGCCGCTATCGCAAGAAGGCCCACGTATCGATTCGATGTGTCTTCCTGGCTCTTACCAGTTTGTTGATTTCCTCCTGCAGGTTCGCGATGCACTCCAGCTTCCTCTTGCGACAGCGTTGCGCGGCCAGCCTGTTCTTGCTGCGCCGTCGGACGTCGTTGATCAATTCCAATTGTTGGCGTGTCAGTGCATGCTGACTCAGCAGATTCTGCAGGTCCACGTGATTCAGACGCACGGCGTGGTCCACAGAGAACGGGAGATCGACCTGATTCACACACAGGACGATATGTTTGCATCAACATGAGATCAGTCGAAGGTTCAAATCCGAACAATCTTGTTAGCGCTTTAACAATCGGTCTTGTTAGCACTGCATTAGTACTGTCAGTCAGTCTTCCTATCATGCTAACCATTAATCTTGTTAGCACTCTGTTCAGGAGGCAAGCAATTAAATTTCTTGGTACTCTTACAATCAATCTTGTTCTTGTTAGTAATCTAATGATCACCCGTGTTAGCGCTCTTTACAACCAGTTTTGTTAACACTGTAAAAGTTAGCATCCTAACAACCAGACGTCTTAGCAGACAAACAATCAGTCATGTTAGCAGCCAGGCACTCTTTTTAGCACTTTTAATGCTATCAGTGTTGTTAGCACTCCAACAGTTAGCTTTCTAATAATCCGCACTCTCAAGAGGAGCATGAAAGCAATAGTTTGTTTTCTTCCTTTTTATTAGCAGTCTGGAAATCAGTCTTGTTAGCACTGTTAGCAGCCAAACAATCCGTTGTGTTCGCATTCTAACAATCAGTCCTATTACCGGTAGTACTTTAACGTCTCACCAGCTAACAGTCAGTATTGTTCGCACTCTAACAATCAGTCTTGTACTCAAGACTTGTTCAAAAACCATAACAGACATATCCACACACGCTAGCTGGCATCAGTACAGTTAAATTGTGAGTCAACTGTCAATTATTAAGTCGTGGCTTGACTTTGCAATGACATCATCAAACCAAGCTCTGCCTGCCAATAAATGCACACTGAACTCTGGGCGCAAAACACACACACACACACACACACACACACACACACACACACACACACACACACACACACACACACACACACACACACACACACACACACACACACACTAGTGAATAATTAACTGGTTGTCATAGTCACCCAATGCAAACATTTGTAAATGAGTTTCCAAGAAATGGACGACTTACAGTAATTCCCAGTCTTTTCAGGAGTCCATTTTGGAAGCCACATAAGTTGGGCCTGAATCAATAGGTCTCCGTTCTGTCAGTACTCACCTGTCTGGCCCGCTCTCTGGGACACCATTCGCCCTCGCCGTCTGTCTCTGAGTCACCGTCCTCACCCGAGTTGAGGGATGATAGTCCTGACTGGGACGCTCCCTCGCTCTCAGACAGTGGGCCTCCTTTCCACGGTGGTCCTCCGCGCTCCAAGTCCTGATTCTGTACCAGGGAGAGGCACTTGAGCCAGTTTTGATGAGAGGGGCCCGCTGAGTCAGACCCGGAGTCAGCCGTTCCCTCGTTGCTCCCTGGAGGATAATTTTTCAGTGTGACACCTAGGACCAGATCGGGACCACAAGAGAACTGTGTTCCTGGTCCTTTTTCTTCTTGCTCTGTGATGTTCTGATCAAATTGGGCACAGTCAGACCTGGAACATGTGCTCACGTCGTCGCCGGTGCTGTTTCCTGGAAGATCTGCTTCATCCTCACATAGACTTCCAGGACCTTCAACTTTCCTGGTGGCATGGACTAATTTTGTTCCTAGTCTTTGTTTACCATCTTCGGAGATGGTCTCCTGATGAAAGAGGTCTGAGTCAGACCTCGGACACATATCCAGATCCTTGCATCCCGTTAGTGTTCCAGGACCTTCAAATTTCCAGGTGGAACTTGTTACCCGATCAAGACATCCAGCAGAGCTTGTTCCTGGTCCTTGTTCTTTGACTGAGATAGTGTGTTGATGAGAAGGGTCGAAGTCGGACATGGGTTGCAAGCTGGTGCCATATCCTGAAATCTTGGCTAGGTCATTAAGACCCGTTAGTCTTTTGAGAACTTCATCTTTCCGGGTGGCATCTGGAAAAAGCTTGTGCTGATGAGAGAACCTTGTTCCTGAGCCATTTTCATCATCTTCTGTGATAGGGTTTTTTTGCGAAAGATCAGAATGAAGATACTTCAATCTGTTCTTGTGTCTGCGAGCTTCAGCTTTCTGAATGGCACCTGCTACCGGAGTGAAAGCAGCAGAGAACTTTGTTCCTTGTCCTTTTTCTCCATCTTCGGTCGAAGTTTTTGAATGTGAGGGGCTAGAATTGGACCTGAGATTCCTGTCCACATCCTTACTACCCATTGGTCTTTCAGGGCCTTCATCTTTTCGAAGTTCACCTGGCTCAAGGTCAGGACCAGTTGGGAACCTTGTCCCTGGTCCTTGGTCTGCATCTTTTTGTGATGGTGTCCTGAGAAGTGGGCAGCTGGGACTCGCATTGGTACTATTGGCTGCAAACTCTCCTCCGTCCTCACATCCAGGAGCTTCACCTGCTACCAAATCAGGACAAACAGAAAACCTTGTTATTGGTCCTCGTTCTCGCTCTTCTGTGATAGTTTTCTGATTGGATGGCACTGAGTGGGGTGTGGGATCCTTGTTGGAGTCAATTCCTGAAATTTCCTCTACATTCTTGTGTTCTGTTATGCTTCCAGGACCCTCATGTTTCCAGGTGGCAACTGGAACCAGCTTGAGACCACCAGAGAACCTTGTCTCTAATCCTTGTTCTCCATCTTTTGTGATGGTGTCCGGATGAGAGTGGATTGAGTCAGACACGGGATTCACATCGGCACCATTTCCTGGAAGCTGCTCTATGTCTTTGCGCTCCGTTTGTCTTCTGGGACTTTGTATTGGCTCTGTAACACCTGAGAACCTTGTTCGTGGTCCTTGTTCTCCGTCTTCTAAGACAGTGCGCTGATCAAAAGAGCCAGATTTGGATTTGGGACACTTTTCCAGATTGTCACCTTTGCTGCCACAATAACCTGGAAGCTCCGTTGCATCCCGACATCTGTGAATTTCAGTTGTTAGACCGGCATCACCACAGATTCCTGGTCCTTGTTGTTCTCCCCCAACGCCCTTGTTCCATCCGCAATGTTTCTGAGGTGTCTCTTTCCCACAAGCCAGTTGGAACTTCCGATACTTGGGGCCTCTTGCACCCCCAACACACCAAAATGATGCGCTCCTCCTGTCATTCCCCTCCGGGCAGCTGGGCGAAGTCGATTCCCTCGGCACTGGTTTCACGACTTTGTGTTGCGCGTCATCCTCCTCGCTCTTCTTCTTCTTCATACAGCACCTCTTCCTCTGTGATGGTAGAAGCGGTGAACCCGAGTTGAATTTGGGTAGCAGGAAGTCAAAGCAGGTCTGGTCCAGGTCGCGGAAGCCCAGCGTAGATGCTGCCTGGCGAATTTCCAGGATGTCATGTTTGCTGAAGAGCAGCTCGGATGTGTAGGCAAATGTCAGCAGGGGCTCGAACCCGCCCACGGTCACCTAAGAGACAGGAAATCTACATCATGATTATCTGATGACTTTTTTGAAATGTAATTTTTTTTTTTTTTTTTGCTAATTGCCCACTTTATTAGGTACAAATTCCAATAAAAAACACACACTCTATGGCATCAATGAGGGATTAGGTGTATATGTAAATAAAGTAAACTTCTGTGCAAACACTGTGACATCATCATCTGTGTTTGTTTTTTTGTATATATATATATATTTTATATATATATATATATATATATATATATACTGGCCACTTTAAATTGGTACACTTCCCAGCGAACACCATTAAAAAAATAAAAATAAAAAATAAAACATCCAGGCATTACAATCACTGAAAGTGTCCCTAATCAAGTGCCCAGTGAGCACCCTCCCTCGGGTAAACAATGTGACGTCATACTCAGGAAGTAACATATTAGTGAACCAGCCACTTCATTCAAAGCAGTATTAATGGAGGTGTACCTAATGAGGTGTCCAGTGAGCGCGCACATATGGGGTCAACAAAGTGACGTCATTCTCAGAAATAATTGGCCACTTGATCAGAAACACCCTCCCGTCACATCCGACACTGAAGTGGGCCAGTGACAGCACGTGTCCAAAGGGGTAAACAAAGTGACGTCACCCTCCTCAAGCTACTCACTCGCGCAGCTCTCACCTCGGGTGGCAGCGTGACGTCATCGCCGTCGTCCTGCTCGCGGTGGAGCCTCCCGGCGAAGTAGTCGCTGCACGAGGCCAGGACGGCGCGATGGGCGTGGAAACGGCGACCGTCCACCTGGACGGTGACGTCACAAAAGGCACCGCGCAGCCGCAGCTCGTCCAGGCGCCGCAGCACGCGCGCCGGGTGCGACGCGCACGCGTACGTGTACGAGGGCATCTACGCGCACGCACACAACGTTAGACACGCAACTGTAACCGTGCGCAAAAAAAAAAAAAAAAAGTCGAATGATCTTTACAGTGCTAAAATAAATTAGCCACGCTTACCTGTTCGGAGTCACGTCCAGTTTGTTGGAGAGGTTAGGACGACTTTGAGACAAGCGAAGTGCGCTTCACACACTCATCTGTCAAAATGTGTGGGTGTGAGGGAGGGAGCTAGCGTGTGCGTGTGAACGCGCGCGCGCGTATGTGTGTCGCAACAGCGCTGACTCATGCTGATAAAAGATGAGCAAGCATGTTTTCCCGTCCAACACCATTCCCGTCTTGCCTCCCTCTCTCTTTACGAACCGCTTCCAGGAAACAAACTCAATATCACCATGAAAACAAACAAATTGAAAAAAAAATTAAACTCTTCAAAGTTGAAAAATGATGTAATTCAATTCAAATTTTAAGAAGGTGCTTTGAAACATGGCAATGGAACCATACACATCAATTTGCCCAAAAAGAATATGGAGGTGACAAAATCATTCAACAAAAATATAAAAAGTAAAAACAAAATTTATGTTAAAAAAATATACATCTACACCTGGGGTGTCAAATTCTTTTTTTAGTTCCCGGGCTGCTTTGTGGTTACGGCTTCTGTCATTGGGCCCTTATGACGATGAAACTATGTAAATGTTTATTCGTCTCATCGTATGATTACATATGCACGGCAAATTTTTTTGCCAAGCTTGAAACTACAAATTTGTTCAAAGTAGAATCATGACCTATTTCACTCCTTCTGTTTTTGAATTGGAACTTCTGAAGTCAATTCTACATTCTGCACATTTTCAAAGAACAAAGACAGATTTTTTTTTTTTCCTGTGCGTGTGTGTGTGTGTTGTATTTGAAAACGAGAAGTAATGACGCACTGAATCCCATTGTGTCGGTGTACCTAAGCAAGTCTCGAGTGTGTGCATGGAACATTCACAAATTTGTTCAAAGTAGAATCATGACCTATTTCACTCCTTCTGTTTTTGAATTGGAACTTCTGAAGTCAATTATACATTCTGCACATTTTCAAAGAACAAAGACAGATTTTTTTTTTTTTCCTGTGCGTGTGTGTGTGTGTGTGTGTTGTATTTGAAAACGAGAAGTAATGACGCACTGAATCCCATTGTGTCGGTGTACCTAAGCAAGTCTCGAGTGTGTGCATGGAACATTCCAGGTTGTGTGCGCGTGCGTGTGTGTGTGTGTGTGTGTGCGCGTGTTTCAGATGTAACTAAAAGCAGAAGTGTGGTCAGATTGCAACAGAAGCGTCCCAGCGACCAATCAGACGACAGCTTCAAATCAACTTCCTGTTTCCATGGAAGAAAGACAGAAAGCGTGTGCGTCTTGGAATCAAGTTTCGGTTTATTGAAAGATTGCTGTTGCGCGATTCAGCTCCGACGTAGTTCCCGTTCGTTCATCCGGCGACCAATCGCAACCTCGCCTCTTTTCCTTCTCGCCGTGACGGGAAGTGTGACATTTGCAAATGAAGTGAGGGGGAGGGGCTTGGAGACTGACGATTACGATGAGTGACCGGACTCGTCGACTATTAAAATCTACTGTGAAGTTCCCCAAACTTGACTTGTGTTTCGATGCAGCATGCACACACATCACAATAACCCTCGGAGGCGGCTCGTACGCCGTTACATCTAAGCGAGGGAACTTTTGGGATTCGTTCTACTTGCCAGAGTAGTTTTACAGCAACATTCATGTCACCTTTACTCCAGTTGTTCCAAAGAAATACTACTCTTACTCCGTTACGGTGGGCGACATTCGGCTCGCTACTTTCGTTTGTATCTCTCAATTCTTCCTTGCTCTGTCCGTTTGTTTGTTTCGGTTCATCAGAGAGACTTCTGCCTCGAGGGCTGACATGACTCTGTTGAACGCAAACCAATAACAATGTTTCATTTCATTTCACTCATCAAACAGAACCAAGCTGTCCGCAAGTTTACAAAAGTGATTAAATTACGTGAAGCGTGGCAGAAATAACTTGGCAGTCCTGGCCGCACATTCAATGTGTTTAACCTTACAGACTAAAGAACAAACAAAAACAAAAACACTGCGTCATCTGTCCCTAAAGAACAAAAAAAACTAACAAAAAAGCCCCACTGCCATCTGTCCCTGGTGAAAAATTTGTATTTCAGCCTACAAGCCAAACTTAACCAGAATCCAAACCAACACGCAGATAATCAAGTCTGACTTCAGCGGCGTAGACGTTCAGAAATCCCAGTTTTCTCAAACGCACCCTCCACACACTGAACATAATCCCGGCCTGGTTCCGAAGTTTTGATCTGCACAAATACCGCCTTCAACTCCGTTTGGACCACATCACTGCACCTCGGGCCTCCTTCCACGCAGCTCCCGTGAATACACCAACGTAGCGGCTAACGTGCGCTTAAATGCTAATCTTTGCTTCCACAAAGATGGCCCTTAACGTCGGAGCTCCAAAAACCAACGACGACATAGCATTTGTGTGTGGTTTGTTTAAAAAAAAAAAAAAAAAAAAAAAGTTTCCAGATAAGTGTACGGTCAGGACGAGTTGGTCCTGCGTAGCCGCTGCAGTTGCCGCGACCGCTCACCATGCTTCGTCACTAGTGTTTGGTTTTCCTCGGACAGACGGCGGAACTCGTCCTCCAGGCGGGAAATCTCCGCCGCTACCTTCTGGTCCTCCACCAATTCGGCCAGGAGCTGACACCTGGGGACGGCGACGGGTAGGAGGAGATGAATGTTTGTGTCAACATGCTAGAATGTTAACATGGACATGCTAGCAGGTTAGCATGGATGTGAAAGTAGCCTCTGGCATTATTCCGCGATATATACTCTAAATGATTTTTTTTTGCTTTAAATCTAAACAAATCATCCCCTTTCATGCCTAATTTTTAATCTTGAATCGTCATTTCAAATCAACAGGGTTTTTCCACTGATGTATCAACAAGGCTTGACAAAAGTTCCGGATGTTTAGAAGGGTCTAATTAGGGCCAGACAAGGACCAAATATGTTCTATGATCTTAAAGCTTGAGTCACAAATAATTGAAAATCAACTGTGATAAGAGACCAATAGCCAAAAGTTTGATGAAACATAATTAGTCATGACTGGCTGATTAGATGGGTCTGGTAGAGCGCCAAGAAGGAACTGATCTGTTCTGGTTCATCCTGGCCATGTTACATGCCATCATAAATCAAAACTACTTTTATTTGGACTACAGCAACCGAAAGAAAAAAAATCAAGGATCATGACGAAATGCCTAGACGGGTTTGCTCTAGTGCGGCCAAGAATCTGAGTTGCCGTTTACTTCATCTCTCTCTTGAGTCACATACTGCAAAGTCAGTAGGGTTCTTGCACTACGACACCCAAAAGCTTTTAGAAAACAACCCTGTCGAGATGGTTAGACGGGCCTGTTGAAGCACAGACTAAAGTCTTCCTTTAAAACTTTTAAAGAGCAACAGTCTTCTCGATCTGATTAGTCGGGAGAGAAAACCGCATTCCCCCGTCAGGATTTCCAGCCGCCATTGGTAACGTGAACGCGAAGTGACAGTTCCCTGCAAACAATGTCGACCAACAGGACGAGCGAGGTCTGACGGCTTTGGCTCCGCTCGTGTCGCCCTTCGCAATCCTGACTGGAATTCTGACATGAGTGAGGAGGGGGCAGGGGCCACCCGACAAGTCGGACTGGCAACATTCCCGTCGAAAGCCATGATTCACGCCCGAGTGGGCCAGCTCGCCTCAACTCACCCACCGGGATATATAGAGAAGTAAAATGTTTCTCATCAAGCACAGCCGTTGCTCTGACTCACGATGTGACTTTGAATTGTGTCTGAGTGTGTGCGCGTGGGCGAGTCTGAGGGGTGCGCGCGGTGTGTCGGGTTGCGGCGGACTGTAAATAAAGTGTCTATTAAAAGACGGGGGCAGATTGTGTGGCTAATCTGTTGTTTACGTCGGGATGATTGATGGCTCTTACTTTCAACAGCGGCTAATTTTGTGCATGGGACGTTTCGCTTTTGACGTAGCAACAGTGCGCTAATGTTGGGCCAATCTACGCGCCAACGGGTAAAAGTGGTGGAAAAGTGATATACGTGCATTCTTTTCTGCCTTCTTCGAATGCGAAGAATGGCAATCCATGTGCAACTCACTTGCGTTCCTCCAGGGCGGCGATGTCGTGCTTGACTTGGTGGAACTCCTTCGCCATCCTGCAGTGTTCCTTGTACACGTGCACGCTCTCCTTCAGGGACACGCACGGCGACACAGGCTAAACCAATGCACCCCAAAAAAGAAGCGTAGCAACAAGATGTGAAAAGGTTACAATGATGGCTGTAAATGTAAAATAATTTATTTCATCTTTTTTTTTTTAATGGATGTAATGAAAAAAAAAATGACCATCTACTATGAGTAAAAAAATATTCCGCTTTGATCCTTTTTATTTTTTTTTTGTTTATATTAAATGACCCAATTATTCCACAATATTCTAGAAATACATTAAAAAACAGTCAATTTAAATGAACTAATTTAAAGTGAAAAAAAATGCTATATTGATGAAAAAAAAAATTACGGGACTCAGTGGACCAAAGGTCACAAAAATGGACACTTACAGTCCCCCAAAAATGAAATATAGTAAGTGACTGCATATTACTCTGTGCTCATTTCCAATTTCCCAGGTTCCACGAACGCTCCATAAAAGTTGATTTTTGTCCCCGTGACAACATGTTGAATTTGCGTGGTGCCTTTGCGCACCTGAAGTCGTTGTTCAAGTTCTGGGAAAGTCTGTGCAAGCTTGTCGGCATCTCTTGTGTCTGTCGATAGAATACAAAACCACATTCGGTTAGCACACGTTGCTAAGCTTATTTCATGACACACATAATCAGTTGAAGGGGCGGGGGGGAGAACAACAGCACTCCAGCCTTGGTGGACTGTTAATTACTCGTGGGTGCCCCTAGTGGTCATGGGACCAGAAGCAGGTGCTTAATTGGCTTTCGCCTCGGGCCGGCTCTGTTTTCACGCCAAACTGCCATCCCTAATGAAGTGTCCGTCGGGTGCAGCAGCAGAGAGCGAACAAACAGGCGGCCGGTGCGTGAAGTCATGCGAAACGCGCAATGACAATCCCATGCGGGCGTGACGCAACCTTCTAAAAGTGTCCACGCCGCTGCGCGGGAACAACAACAAGAGCATTTGTGCCGCTATGCGGGACGTGACAACATGACGGCCCCCGCGGGATGAACGCCGGGTCAGGGGTTCGGGTGGCGGGGTGGGGGCAACACCTGTCACGGCCGCAGAGCGCAAAAGTCAATGCAGGGTGCACTAGGCGGGGCCCGTGGGCTCCATTTTGGTGGTCAGAATGCGCTGTGTGTTTTCCACACATGCTGGAACCGCAGCCTGGCTTTGCGACATCTTAAATGATCAAACAACACTTCAAATAAGTTGTTATCAGTATTTTGGGGGAGTGGGCAAAAGCTGCTTGTGTGTGTGTGTGTGTGTGTGTGTGTGTGTGTGTGTGTGTGTGTGTGTGTGTGTGTGCGCGCGCGCGCGCGCGCACGCGCGCATACCTGATGTATGGTCAAGGCTGAAGGAGATCTGAACTTCGGGTACATCAGGAGACACTCTTCTGGCTGACGTGATCATTTAACCCTGCGTCACAGTTCTTGATATATATAAAACAGCACCACCGTTAGGTTTGGTGAAGCAGCATGTTGCTCATTTCAGCTGTCATGTCAGGAATGAGCTTGAAAAACTACGACCAACTGACGGACTTAGTAGCCTTGACGCCAACTTAGAAACTGGAAGGAATAACTGAGTGACTCGCAGACTGCCTTCCCAATGGACCAATGGACTAACTGACTAACTAACTCACTGACCTACTAACTGGCTTGCTAACTGACCGACGAACAGACTTACTAATTTAGGGAATCAGTAACTGGTTAATTGGCTCATTGACTCACGAGTAATTAGTCACTTGCAAAGTGGCTGACAGACGTACTAGCTTTATACTTAGCTGGTCAATTGACTGACTGAAGGCTTAATTAGCTGACTTAATGAGCAACCAACCGAATTGGCAAAAAAACAGAATGATAAGTTAACTGACCAATTCTGAAGTGAACAACTTACCAACTAACTGATTAATTGACGAATTATTTGAGATAAATGGTGAGGAACTGACTAAGTAACAGGCTGACGCAGTAAACAACTGTCTAACTGATCGACTTTGACTATGTTACTGACTAATTAACTGGTCCACTGATTAACTGACTAAAAACTTACTGGCAAACTAATCCACTTGACATCGCAAAAAAAAATAAATACTAACTGATTAACTTATCGACCAAATCCATGGCTAACTAACTAATTAACTAACTGACCCGCTGGCAAACTAACTGACTGACCAAATCACAGCCGAACAAATTGACTAATTGCCCGACTTATTAGCGAATACAACCATGGGGAGGTATCTCACTCTGACGGTGTCAATCAAAACACAACAGAATTACGGTTTTTGCGTACCGAATGAAGTGTCAAGCAAATGCAAATGCAAGACATTTTTTTGTGTGCATGCAACAGTAAATAAATCTTGCTTCGTGCTTTCAAAGGGGCTTAACCGTCCTCAAAGTATCCATTTGACAACTGTCAATCAAAGATGACATCACTACCATGCAGTCAAAGCAAAACAAAAGAGCTTACCCGAAGCAGCCCCTCCAACCCTCCAAAACAAACCCAGAAAAAGTCTAAAGTCAGGCAAATCCGGTCCACAGAGTTTCCTGAGCTTTCGGGCTCGTTCTGGCGCCGGGCCTCCCTCGCCTGCCCCCCCCACCGCCACCTCCTCCCCCTCCTCCTCTTCTCGCCGCTCGCTTCGGGGGGTCTCGTCTAAACGCGCTTCTGCCCGCACATGAACTACACGAAAGCATCAGCAACGTGCGCCCAGTCGTCCACCCTCCACCAGACCCTTCACAATAAAATGTCTCAGATGACATGACTTGACCCCCGCCCCCCAGTGCTCATACGGGCCTCTCATAACTAAAATAGCAAAGACGGCGGAAGGAGGGCAATACATCAAGACGTACGTAAGTGCACACTCCAGGTCACTCGATAAGGTACACTGTCCAATGACATCCAATACAATATTGCGTCATGGAGCAGAGTTGACCATTTCACTCCAGGCCTGTAGGTGGCAGTAAAGGCCAATTCAGTGCATCTGATGGATCACCACCGCACTTGGCCCCAACGAAAGTGGATTGGAAGAGTAGAAAAAAAAAACCTAAATACAACTGTTGACGAAAACTGGGGGAATTGTATTCTCGCTGGCGATGGGTAACCGTGTCATTGTAAAGTTTGTAATGTTGTTTTGTGTCTTTTTATCTTTTTTTTTTTAAGTATATAAAAATTGATGATTAATTCTGCCCAGCAACGTGTGACAACAGAGCTCGGGGAAAATAATCGGATCCATTTTCTAGTTACATTTTTTTTTAAACTTTATGATTTCAATTGTTTAAAATGAACAATTACCAACTCCAACACTATGGCACAGCGCAAATTTCATGTATGTGATGTTTTTTGTTGTGATCTACCATTTGAATATGAAATTACAATATTTCTATTATGGTTCTAATAAATCGTCCTCAAAACAAGTGACTGCACAAACATGGCCAGAAAATAATCAGTTGTGAAATTTCAATGATGACAGAATAATAGTAATGATGACCCATTTTATGTCGCATGTGTGTTTCACAACAGAACGCTGTAGTTTAGTCGTATTTTATTGTCGTATTTCCGTCTGAATGTCAGCATCTGGTGTCTCTCATAAAAAGAGACAAAAACTCCTTGGCAGGGCTAATAAACATCTTGTTGCGGGTGGTTGCTCTTTAAGAGCTTTTCACAACACCAGCGCCTCATCTGGACGGCGCCGACTGTTTAGTACCGCAAAAAGCTTTTTGACGCGGCGCGTCGAGGAGCCCAAGATAGCCGGCGTGTCATTCAGGTGAGGTCATCGTGCTGCGCTCAGACGTGCTGAATGCCAAGGTCAGCGGCGTAATCCCTGCCCTCATTCATGACGGATTAGACCCTGACAGGAGGGGGAGGGGGCTAAAAAATAAATACCCCTGGGGTTCTGATGGAGGACGGCCGCCCGCCGTGACGGTGCAGCGGGGGAGATTACAGGGCCAGCAATTACGCTCAATCCCGGGATTAATCTGCATGGCATACATAAAAAAAGTAATTCCATGAAGAGATTAAGAATGGTCCGAGGAATGAACACTAACCTGTATCAGGGCCTGTCAGAGGAGATAATTCAAGACTACCTCTCATACATACCGGATTTTTTTTCACATCCACAGGTGACATAGTCGAGTAGAACCCTCGCATAAAAACGACTGAAATGCTCTTTCATAAGTGCTTTTGCTGCTGTGGGATCCTGCTCAGATGGGAAACAAACTCAAACAGAAGCACGATATATACTTGCGCACACACACAGAATGTATTTTTTGTAAGTTTAGTGTATTGGTCACCGATGTCATGGATGATCAGGTGACTTTAAATTGTCCCAATTACAGCTAAACTGCATTCGCAGGAAAAGTTACTGAAACAAATGGTGGAAAAGAAAAAATACAAGAGGAAAAGCAACATAATTGACAGGAAAATCGATCCAAAAAA